TCTTCATCATCCTCGCCACCTCATCCTCATCATCATCCTCATCATCATCCTCATCATCATGCTCATCATCATCATCATCCTCATCATCCTCATCATCCTTATCATCACCTTCATCATCATCAGCCTCACCATCATCATCCTCATCTTCATCATCATCCTCATCATCATCCTCATCATCATCCTCACCGTCCTCATTCACCCTCATCATCATCATCGTCATCCTCACCATCATCCTCATCAGCCTCATCATCATCCTCCTCATCACCCTCATCCTCATCATCATCCTCATCCTCATCCTCATCATCATCATCATCATCAGCATTCTCATCATCATGCTCATCATCATCATCCTCATCATCATTGTCCTCATCATCCTCATCATCCTTATCATCACCTTCATCATCATCAGCCTCACCATCATCATCCTCATCTTCATCATCCTCATCATCATCCTCATCATCATCCTCATGATTCTCATCCTCATCATCATCATGATCCTCACTATCGTCTTTATCATCCTCATCATCACCCTCATCATCATCATCATCCTCACCATCATCATCCTCATCCTCATCATCATCCTCATCATCCTCCTCATTAAAATCCTCATCATCATCCTCATCCTCCTCATCCTTCAATTATCCTCCTCACCATCATCCTCACCATCATCCTCATCATGATCAGCATCATGTCATCATCCTCATCCGCATCATCCTCATCCTCCTCCTCATTATCATCCTCACCATCAGTCTATCATCATCATAATAATAATAATCATCATCATGATCATCATCATCGTCATCATCATTATCATCCTCGCCATCATGCTCACCCTGATTACCACCATCATCGCTTTTCTTTCTCCTGCCTGGTGCCTGTCTGCCTGTGTCTGTTTGCAGGTGTTCTTGTTCTGCTCCTCTGTGTTGCCTGCCTGTGTGCTGTCCTGCCTGCCCTGCATGTGTTCTTATTCGCTCGCTTGCTTCCTGCTCAGGCGATGGCTTATCCGCGTGTTTGCTGTCTTGCTTGCGCGTCTGTATGTCGGCCTGCTGGCCTATTGGGATATTGCCCTAGGAGCCGTTTCAAGCGGAAACTGGCGCAGCGTTCTTCCGGCGCCGCGCAAAGGGAGGTCGAGTGTGATTTGCTAGAAGAGGGGAGAACAGAAGAGACAGATTCATGCGCTGAGCACGCGATCCGAGGGGATTGACCCGAGGATTCCCCATGGCTGGGGTTGCGCGGAGATTGATCCGTGTACGCGTGTGCAGGGCTTGAAGCCGTCTCTGATGTTCTCCTCTGTTAGTCGGCGGGTGGCTACAACTCCCGACCCCCCGAGGACAATGCCAGTAAAGTGAATTGCCGCAGCCAATTTTTTGAGCTTTTTTGTTTTGAGGGCTCGCGGGGGTGTTTTTTTTGTGTTTTTGTCGACCCCGAACGATGCTCCCAGGTACCGCCCCGGCCTGACTTCGGGCTGTTTTCGGTCTCTAGGTTTTGCACGATTTCGCCGGTTTGGCTTCCTAGCTGCCTGCCTTCTTTTTGTTTCCGTCTTCGCTTGCATGCTGATTGTTTTCTTGGTTGCTTGTCTGAGGAAACAGAGTGAATTCAACAGTTAGACAAGATTAAGTTGCATGTGGGACCTTGGGATTAAGTCTGGCGGCAAGCCCCTGGGTGGCGGGAACCCTCATCCAGGAATTAACTTTTGATCTTCATCGACTTTGATTTGCTAGAAGAGGGGAGAACAGCAGAGACAGAATCATGCCCTGAGCACGCGATCCGAGGGGATTGGCGCTAGGATTCCCCATGGCTGGGGTTGCGCGGAGATGCGCTGGCGATGCAGTCGGTTTTTACATAGCCCCTGGGTGGCTACAACCCCCGACCCCCCGGGGACAATGCCAGTAAAGTGAATTGCCGCAGCCAATTTTTTGAGCTTTTTGTTTTGAGGGCTCGCGGAGGTGTTTTTTCGTGTTTCTGTCGACCCCGAACGATGCTCCCAGGTACCGCCCCGCCTGACTTCGGGCTGTTTTCGGTCTCTAGGTTTTGCACGATTTCGCCGGTTTGGCTTCCTAGCTGCCTGCCTGCCTGCTTGCCTGCCTGCCTGCCTGCCTTCCTGCCTGCCTTCTGTTTTTTTCCGTCTTCGCTTGCATGCTGATTGTTTTCTTGGTTGCTTGTCTGAGGAAACAGAGTGAATTCAACAGTTAGACAAGATTAAGGTGCATGTGGGACCTTGGGATTAAGTCTGGCGGCAAGCCCCTGGGTGGCGGGAACCCTCATCCAGGAATTAACTTTTGATCTTCATCGACTTTGATTTGCTAGAAGAGGGGAGAACAGCAGAGACAGGTTCATGCCCTGAGCACGCGATCCGAGGGGATTGACCCGAGGATTCCCCATGCCTGGGGTTGCTCGGAGATTGATCCGCATACGCGTGTGCAGGGCTTGAAGCCGTCTCTGATGTTCTGCTCTGGCAGGGGGGTGGGTTGATGGAGGGGGATGATGATGTTGGTGCGCTGGCGATGCAGTCGGTTTTTACATAGCCCCCGGCCCGGGGACAAAGCCAGTAAAGTGAATTGGCGCAGCCAATTTTTTGAGCTTTTTTGTTTTGAGGGCTCGCGGAGGTGTTTTTTCGTGTTTTTGTCGACCCCGAACGATGCTCTCGCATCCTTTGCATTGCCAAGGATGTCTAACGTCCCTTTTGATTGCTATATATCATAAGATGTGTAACAAGATATTAGATGATGCTAGATGATAATCAGATGATGATAAAGATGATGACAAGGATGATAACTATATCATCGTAGCATCCTTGGCATCACTAACGGCCGTGATGATAACTATCATCTTAGCATCTTCTGCGTCAGCAACGCTGCCGAATAAGAGATGATGATGACCATGACGATAACTATGATAAGGATAAGAGAATAAGAAAGAGATGATGACGACCATCATGATGATGACGATGATGAGAAGGATGATGGTGATGATGATGACGATGATGCAGCCCAAAACAAAGTCTCCCACGCCTCAAATTAAAAAACTGTTAATTTGAGGTGCTTTCCCTGACAAAAAGCCCGCCAGAAAAAGGACACGAGGATGCCACTGAACCATTGGGCAATGGATGACTGTCATGATAACGATCATCGTAGCATCCTTTGCATCACCAATGCTGCCTGATAAGAGATGACGACGACCATGATGATAAAGCCACGGGCGTGATGATCGTTATCATCCGCGCTATGACAACTATCATCACAACATCCTCTGCATCTCTACTTGTTCCTTGATAACTATCATCATCGCATCCTTTGCATTGCCAAGAATGTCTAACGTCCCTTTCTGATTTCTGATAGAGATGATGACAAGGATGATAACTATCATCGTAGCATCCTTGGCATCACTAACGGCTGTGATGATAACTATCATCGTAGCACCCTCTGCATCACCAATGCTGCCTGATGAGAGACGACGACGACCATGATGATAATGGCACGGGCGTGATGATCGTTATCATCCGCGTCATGACAACTATCATCACAACACCCTCTGCATCTCTACTTGTTCCTTGATAACTATCATCATCGCATCCTTTGCCTTGCCAAGGATGTCTAACGTCCCTTTTGATTTCTACATATAACAAGAAATGGGATGATGCTAGGTGATGATCAGATGATGATAAAGATGATGACAAGGATGGTAACTATCATCGTAGCATCCTTGGCATCACTAACGGCTGTGATGATAGCTATCATCGTAGCATCCTCCGCATCACCAATGCTGCCTGATAAGAGATGACGACCATGATGATAATGGCGCGGGCGCGATGGTCGTCATCATCCGCGTCATGACAACTATCATCACAACATCCTCTGCGTCTGTACTTGTTCCTTGACAACTATCAGCATCGCATCCTTTGCATTGCCAAGGATGTCCAACGTCCCTTTTGATTTCCATGTAAAACAAGATATTAGACGTGATGACAAGGGTGATAACTATCGTCGTAGCATCCTTGGCACCACTAACGGCTGCGATGATAACTATCATCGTAGCATCCTCTGCATCAGCACTGCTGCCTGATAAGAGATGACGACGACCATGATGATAATGCCACGGGAGTGATGATCGTTATCACCCGCGTCATGACAACCATCGTCACAACATCCGCTGCATCTCTACTTGTTTCTTGATAACTGTCATCATCGCACCCTTTGCATTGCCAAGGATGTCTAACGTCCCTTTTGATTACTATATATAATAAGGTATTAGAGGGTAGGTGATGATCAGATGATGATAAAGATGATGACAAGGATGATATCTATCATCGTAGCATCCTTGGCATCACTAACGGCTGTGATGAAAACTATCATCGTAGCATTCTTGGCATCACTAACGGCTGTGATGATAACTATCTTCGCAGCATCCTCTGCATCACCAATGCTGCCTGTTCAGACACGACGACGACCATGATGATAATTGCACGGGCGTGATGATCGTTATCATCCGCGTCATGACAACTATCATCACAACACCCTCTGCATCTCTACTTGTTCCTTGATAACTATCATCATCGCATCCTTTGCATTGCCAAGGATGTCTAACGTCATGACAACTATCATCAGAACATCCTCTGCATCTCTACTTGTTCCTTGATAACTATCATCATCGCATCCTTTGACAAGGATGACAACTGTCATCGTAGCATCCTTGGCATCACTGACGGCTGTGATGATAAGTATTATCCTAACGTCCTCTGCAGCAGCAACGCTGCCGAATAAGAGATGATGATGACCGTGATGATAATGATGAGAAGGGTAAGAGAATAAGAAAGATGATGATAAGGATGATGATGATGACGATGACTGTGATGATAACAATCATCGTAGCTGATGATGCTGATGAGGATGAAATTTTGGTTTTTCTTATGTGCCAATCACCCTTCCCGTTCGCCTCCCCTTTTTAGAGAAAGGGTCGGCGGATTTTGCATTTCATGGACGGAGTGGTTGCGTGAGCACGAGGCAATCTTGCCGCACACGACGACAGCAACTACTTTGCGATCGCGCGCACGGATAGGAACACCACGGCTCGCTACCCCGCAGGGACACTCGGGCAGAACTGGAAACTGGTGTCAAGTCATGCGCTAGCGTCGCGAGGTGATACTCCAAGTCACAATCGCTCAAGATGTTTCGCAGCTACCCGGACAACCGAAGATCGAAACGGGCGCCTGTCAAAATAATGATATCCAGCTTGCAAGCAAATGTTTGTGTCGTTGCCCAGATCCCAGGTAAGCGTCATCAGACATTACCGTCCATAGAACTGGGCGAAGGTTTCCGGTGAACCCTAGGTTTTCTCGAAAACTGCTTTCTTCACATATATATTTATATACATATCTTTCTCTCTTCCAGACCCCCCAACTTCCCCGCCCCCAGGGTGGGTGGTTGTTTTTTGGCTGGTTTCGGGGTTTAGGTGGGTTTCGGGATGGTTTAGGGTTGGTGTGGTTCAGGGTTGGTTTAGGCGGTTTAGGGTTGGTTTAGGGTTGGCGTCGGGTTGGTTCAGGGTTGGTTTAGGATGTAACGGGCACACACCTTGAGTGAGCAACCCTCCCACTGTTCGGGCTTATTGAAAGCCCCGGAGTCACCTGCACGCACGCCGGCTGGGCCACCATCGAGTATTTCCAGGTACAAAGTTACAAGGTTCAATGGGTGTCTTACCACGTGTAACCTACCCCTTTCAGGGTTCTCCCCGTCCCCCACATCGACATCAATCGGGATGATTGGCAATGCCACCGCTTTGATTATTCCCCCTGCGTAGGTGGAGGTTTCTCAGGAGCTGGTTGGTGACTCCTTACAATTCGCCCGTTGAAGCTTTCGGCAAGGTTCAAAGGGGGTTCGTGGGTGAATTCCTTGCCAGCGTGACCGGGTCCTCTGACCCGCAGTCAGGAAAGGAATGGCACCAAACATGCCCAAAGCCAGTCCTGGCATTGTCAGGACCGCAGTAAAGCAGCCACTTTGCTGAAGTGGAAACTCGAGGAAGCCTTTCAGCACTATCGCGTGGAACCTGCAGACCCCAGCACTTGGCCTAGTTCCAAGCAAGGCGATAACGCTTGCTCCAGCCGCCCACTTTTGATGTCAACCGAAAGCCTCATTCCTGCCAAGGGCTGTGGTCTTCCGAAAGATTGCCTTGATCTACTACCTTACAAAGGACTGGCGTGAGGACTATGGCGGCGCTTTGCTGGACCTTCACAGCAGTGCCTCAGCGCGGCATCTTTCCTCTTTTGTGGTTTCAAGCATTTCCTTTTGGGCGCTTGAGCCCCGAGCTTTTGTTGCACGAATCAAACATTCAGTGTGAAAAGCACGACCCAATGGTCCGTTGAAAGCCACCAATCCGGGTGACACATAACGACCTCACAAATCCGGTTTGCGACGGTTCCTTCTTTCCGGGCAAAATAGTCCGTGATGTTTACCAACATTGGGCTGGAATTGGCCAATCGAGAGCTGGGGGCCCAGGGGCCCGGCCCAGCTTGAGAGCCTGAGAAAGTGAGGACCCAGACTCTTTCAAAGGTCTGCTTACGAAGGATTTGCGCAAGGTTTTGAAGGGACGGGAGTATTGATTGAGTTGCTGATTGATAGCCATGTTCCTGTTGATTGGTGCTTTGGGCCTAGGCAACGTCCTTGGACAGAACAGCTGGTCATTTGGATGGAGGGCGCTCCAAGCCGGGCTGGGCTGGGGACTAAATCTCTACCCTGAAAGTTGGGTCCTTTGAAGTTGGTCTTGCAGAAGGGCTAAACGCATGGCTTGTTGGGCGCAGAGTTAGAGGTATTGGAATCCTTGGCTGAGGGCAGGATAGCTTGCAGGTACCCGCCCAAAATCCAGAAGACTCCGGACTGGGCACGTGCGGATCGGAGATCCCATGCGAGGGTATTTCGATACAAAGAAAAGGAAAAACCAAGAAGTTGCAAATTGTAAGAAAAAGCCAAGAAGTTCCGGTCTCCGAGTTCGGAGGCGAGGCAAAGTGCCTGGTGCCGCGCTTCAACTCGGCGGTGGCGTTTTTGGTACCGCGGGTCCATCAGGTGGGAGGGTTGCGCCTTTGGCCCATGAACCCAATCGGTCTCAAAATATGGCCCATGTGACCTATGACATATGTGTTACACACCAAATCAAATGGTCTAACATGGTAAACATACTTTTTGTTTGACACATTTGACAGTGGGTGACCGGGTGGGTTGGTTCACAGGTTCACACGTTGAAGAGGCGACCTTTCACTTCCCGTGGTGTCCCTGTTTGGTTGGGACCCAAAACTGGCCCGAAAAAGGGCAATTCTTAGTTCGGGTCACTGGGCAACTGGATGTTGGGAACAAAAGCCGAGGTAAACAAGGGCGGAACAAGAGCGAAGGATGACGCTGGGTAGATGGATTTGTCTCCAAATTGAACACGGACCCTAGTGGTGATTCCCTTCAAGCAAGAAGCACTCAATGTTGATCGAACGACCAGGTCCTCCCCTTCAAGAGACCAAAAGCATTCTGCAACTATCTACTGGTTTAGGTTCCGACAATGACTGACACCAGATTTGTACAGGTTTCCGGACAGACAACCAGCAAGACGCGAAGAGGACCTTTCTGGAGCCAGATAGGGAGAACTGGCCGTGCTCTTTTTCCAAAAGGTCAGACTTGCACGTCCCTTCCCTTCCAGGTTCAGGATTTGGCCAAGGGCTGCCCTCCACGATTCTCCGTGTTTGGCGCGGAACTGAGCGTCATGTTGTTTGCCAAAGGTGCGAGAGCACCGGCCCAACCTTCGCAGAGTGGTTGTTGACTTTTCACACATCCCAGTTTGGCGTGTGTGTGTGTGTGTGACCATTCTGGGGTTCGCATGTCTTGAGAAGACCTTTCAAGGTTCAAGATGGTTTGAAGCGAAGGATTTCCTTTGGTTTCTCAATGTTTGAACGAGGCTTTGCAATGCGTTGACGGAACACACCCTCTATGAGAAATAAGTTCATAAGTCCCCATGTTCAAAGTGCCGCATGAATTTGGGAAGTCCGGACGCCGGCCCTTCCGAGCAGACGCAGTTCCGCCTTGGGCTTAATCAGAGGGAAACAGCCACGGTGATTCTCAAAGCAAGCTTCAAGCACAACACCAAGTCAAACATTATGTTATTTGTCAAGCTGCCTAGCTTTAAAGCTGCTATGATTTTTAGTAGCCAGGTCTGGAACTCCATGAATGAGACAACAAGACCAATGCATTCCGTGTGGCAAGCCTGTGTGTGCGCAAAGCACATGTTATGCCAACCCAGATCACCGAGAAGATTCTCCTGCACTCCTCCCGGTTGGACCAACGATTGGCCGAGGCTGGTTCAGCGACGACAAAGGCTATCCTACCAAAGCTGAGCTCGGACAGATGCCGTGGCTATCCACTTGCGAGTCCAGGGAGCGTTGAAAAGACGGTCTTGGGTAACGCAAGGGGGCGCTTTGAAGTTTGGAGTGGTTTCGCAGTGGATTCGCTCACAAAACATGTGCCAAACACACGCGTTGCGAGAGGCCAAGACCACAGAGCCCGGTGTGCAACTTTTCCACGGGCACTCGCGGTAGTCCGATTTTTAAAGTGCGAGGGGTGAGACTTTGCAACTCTAGTCCGACCTTCGTGTCTCCGAGCCTTGCGAGCTTGAAAAGGCTTGCGCGAGCTGACAAGCCAAATTGCCCAGCACGCTACACGAATCTAAATGCGGCGACCTGGAGCCCATGTCTCGGATCGATGCCTTGGTGGTACATGTCAAGAGTACTTTCAATAGTTAGGGAAACGAACCATGAGCAATCCGCCTGGCATTGTTCGTATTTCTGCGCAAATTAGAATGTTTTCTGAAGATCTCTGCAAAGAGAGACACATTGTGGCCCGCTGAGCATGTCTCGACCATGGATCAGCAGATTTGAACCTGAGAGCATTACAGCCATCGCAGCCTTTCCCTATGCAAAGCAGCTGAGATCCTGCAATCTGATGGTTCTACAGCCTTGGCACATCACTCAGTTTGGTCCAACAGAACAAGGTTTTATCTCTTCCAGCGGGCATACTCCAACTTGCGCTATCGCTCATGCACGGCTGGCGCAGTGCAGCGAGCGGAGTCTGTCATGCCATTAGGCAGGCCGTGCCAGGTCCGCGCTGACCCGTATGGGTCGCGTGGCCGTGAAAACCGCCGTGAGCTGTCTCATGGCGCTAATGCTGTGCATGTCACAGCCGATCCGCACACCTTTCTGTGACAAAAAGAGCGATCAATCCCCGAAGAAAGAAAGCCCTCCAGCGAAAAGTGGCGTGCAAACGCGGTCAAAACGCGGCTGACCAACCGCAAAAGGCTAGCTACGGTAGGCCTGGCGAACGGGGCTTCTGAGTAGGTCTGCAGCGGCGTGCCAAAGGTCCTCGTTTTCACCTGACGGGGCTTCAGTGGGTTCATGAAGCAGCGCGTCGATTCCGTGCACGGTAGACTGTGAGTCTGACCAAACGCATGTACGGCAGTTGTGTTTGATAGTCCACCGGATGGCACTGATAACTGCAGTCAGCTCCGCACGACTGATTGTTTGTATTGTACCTGGCAAATGTCCTGCTGCGATGCATCCGCGATCCGGTGCGATGGCCGCCCAGGCTGCTAATGCAAGCTGCGAGTCTTGGTGTCCAAAACATGAACCGTCCGTAAAAACGTGCTGTAATTGTGCGCCATCAGGTTCAAGATGAAACTCGCCCGAGCTGTCCGTTGTACAATGAAGCTGCTCCTTGATGTTGGCGAAAAACGGGTTTCTTGGAACGAGCAAATGGTGGCTGACGCAGGTTGGGAGAGAATCCCACATGTCAACTACCCACTGGTCCTCTGCACGGCAGGTCCTGTAGCGTGGGCAGTCGCATACCTGGTGCTTGTAGTCCTCCGGAACGAGGCAGAGAGGGCACTGCGCGCTCTTGGTCAGATCATACCGAGCGTGATGAGCAGGAGCACGAAAGGACCCGTCCTGCACTGCTGATACCAGTCGCGCCTGGAGTGGTGTGTATTTGGATCGCCGGCGGGTAGAGCAGGCGTGGTCGATGCCGTTGAGGTCGCACATGGAGTTCCGGTGCTGTACTTGTTGCGCTACATACTGCGCCCATGCATCTTCAAGCCTGCTGATCAGCTCATTGGACGAGCAAGTGAGAAGGTTGAAGTGGAGGCCGTCATGATCGGTGATGTATGAGACATTGTTGATCGTCCATTTGAGCGGGTCGCAGATTTCTAGCAGCTTGGAGAAGGGTCCTGGTAGTAGGCGACCATCAAAATGTCGCATGAACTGTGCCCACTCGTTGACATGAGCTGGCTGTTTGCGGCAAATACGGCGAAAGTTCCTGAAGACCGTGAGGGCTTGGTAGAATCCGGGGTCGGCTTGAAAAGGTAAAGCAAGCGCGAGTCTCAGCATGGGATTACCTCCTGCACACTTCAGACTCAATGCTGCTACAGCTGCAGATCGAAGCCGCCGGATGTGCTGTTCACCCAGGAGGCAAGTGACGATTCCGTGTAGGGCTCGCGGCCAGAAGCATGTCCACAAGGTTCTGGCTTTCACATCCAGGGGGCCTGGCGCTCGACGGAGCGCCTGCCATTTGCCGGAGACCGCGGCATCTGTCTACCAGACCAGCGTTGCGTAGGGAGCTGCCATATGTCATGCAGCCACCCAAATCCCGTGCGTTGCGGACCGTGCGGCAAGGGAAGGGCTGCAGTGATTTTCTGTCGGTAGCCGATGCGGCCCACACGAAAGACTTGTGGTAGTCGATAGGCAGGGCGAACATGTTGCAGAAGCTTTCCAGCGCACACCATCCTCTTGCTAGCGTAGCCGGGGAGTAGGCTGTGGCCGCAAGGTTGTCAACATAGCTGTATGCCAAGGTCGACGGAGCAAATGCCTGCATGTAGAGATGGTAGCTGAGATTGATCATCGTCATGGCAGCTACACTCAAAGGGCAGCCTTCCGGGAAGCCGACAGAAGACCCGATGGGGGAGGAGAGGCTGCCCCGGACGACAAAGCGCCGCTGGTTGCTGTGCAGAAAGTCAAACCAGGGATTGAGGACCTTATCCGAGATGCCGAAAGCCTTTGCGATGAGGGCGACTAGTTCCCTGCGAAGGTTGTTGAAGCAGCGTTGTAGGTCGACCGCAAATCCGCATAGTCCATTGGCCGAGTGGTCGGCCTGGGCGCTGAGCTCATGCATGGCAAAGACATATTGCATGGCCTCCTTTTCAGGCATGAAACCATATGCGGTGTTGTGGATCAGGTGGCTGATGCCCTTGAGGATGGTCTTCGGTAAATCAGGCTGTAGATTAGGCGGTAGCTGTCTGCTGCCTTGGGGTTGGCGGTCTTGGCGACGCAACTAACTGTGCCCTGAAGAAGCTGTTGAGGCCAAGTGGTATGGCCGTCCTCGAGGCTGTTGAGCCAGTTGATCAGCTGCTGCTTATGTCCCAGGTGCATTTGGCGAAGGTCCTGGAGCGCAAATCTGTCGGCTCCTTTAGCAGCATGTGGACGGTACTTCTTGAGGGTGTCGTCCCACATTGAGACCGTGATGGGCTCACAATTCTCGTAAGTTCTTCATTGGATAGCCGGGTTGAGGTATTCCAGCGTGAGGTCCAGAGGTCGAGGAGCTCTGCGTGGGTGTCATTGACGTGAGTGACAAAGGAGTCCTGCTCAATGCCGTGCCCTGGGCAGAGAGCCGGTCGGTGTCGACCTGGGCGACATCAGAGGCAATGGCCTGTACTTGGGCTGGTTCACCATGGTGGGACCAGACCCGAGCGATCGTGAGCGTGTCGATGGCCGGTTGTCTGTCTTCCCGAATGTAGTGGTAGAGGGCCCCACTTTGCTCGTCGTATTTGAGCTTGATGGTGGAGATGCCAGGCCTCGAATTTACGGAAGTTGGAGCGGTAGTCTTGAAAGATCAAGACAGCAACGGGGAGTGGTGGCGGTGAGTGTGGCAGTCTGCATGGGCTGCCTTGGAGTTGCAGCTGCCGATTGGGCCACCAGTGATGGAAGCCGCCGCGAAAGCCAGAGCTCCTAGTGATGGCCCCCCAAAGCTGAGCGCGGTAGAGGGAGGAGTTGATGCTGGTCACGTTGGATCGGAGTGAGTGGAGATAGCTCTGGAGTCGTCGTAGTTGCTTGCACCATTGCCGCACAGCTGTGCCGGCAAGGCTGGACAAGATGATCTCCTCACCTGGGCGGCTTGATTTGATGGCGTGTGCCGTGGTATGGACTTGCTCAGGTTCAGTCCAGCGGGCACGCCCTCTGCAGCGGCGAGGCAGGTCTTTGTTGTGGTCCAGCTCTACGTAGCCGTTGAGGGAGTTCTCAAAGGAGTAGGCAAAATGCTGGTACCACTCAGTGGGTGTCTCCTGTTCGTGGATGGGGTCAAAGCTGGCAGAGTGCCATCTTGGAATGTTGATGGAGTCCCATGGGATGGCGGCTGGTTGTCGCCACCTTCGGATTTGTTGCTGCTGGGCCTTGGTCCACAGATCTACGAGTACGTCTTTGACTCGGACGCGTTGTGTCAAGGCTGCTGCTTCGGGCGAAAGAAAGATCAGGTCCCGTTGGGTGGCACCCTTGCACGTTGGCTGAGGCTGTTGCTGCCAAAGGGCCAAGGCAAGCTGCTGTGCCTCAACCCAGCCGTGTTGCTTCCAGAGGGCGATTTGTGGCAGGGCAGACTCATCGTGGTTGAAGCTCCAGCCACCACCCGGACTCCTTGAAATCCAACCACTATTTCGCGTGTGATGGTGGCTAACAGGCGATCTGTGAGAGCGCGGGCGTCCGGGTACGTTGGGCCGTCGTAGTGATGGGCACGCCGTCGAAAATGTGCCTGGCCGTGGTGATTCTGCCGGTTTCGAAGACGCCGGCGTCCCAGGAGAGTGAGGGGTCGTGCTGGAAGGTCTGTAGCGATGAGCACCCCAGTCCATGATCCAGCCCAGTGAGAGTGCGCCCTGAGTGGTGCGGGAGCACCCTCAATGCATCGGACCTGCCGCTGTTGGGCACGGCCGAGCTGCGCGAGTTTTCTGCTCCCGTGACATGGGACAATTGAGTTTCGGCGAGATGCCATATTCCTGGGCCTCGTTGGATTTGGAGGTCCTCCTTGCCGTTCAATCCCGAGGGGTTTGTGGTACCCACAGCCAGAAGCTCCTCAGCGGGAGGGAGCGGCCAGGTTGGTCCAGGGTTGTGTGCTTCCCCGATTCGATAGAGGCGAGCATGATGGTGATCGTTGGCAGCAGTTGCAGAGCACACTGCATGCCTGTTGTGGTTGCCCTCCCATGGGTGTCCCCCGGACCCAAATTCGCAAGAGGTTTCCAGACTGGAAACCTTCGCGCTGTCGTTGTAGAGCAGGGCACAGTAGCCGCGCAGGAGTAGAGCTGCGTGACCCAAAGCAAAGCGGTGAAGATCAGGCGGCTGGTGCGATCATGGCCGGCTTCCCGGATGGTCGCTTCCGGGATCCGGGCTGACATAGTCAATCGGTGCGTGCTTTTTTTGGCCAAGAGGGCCTCAAAGCGTTGGAACTGCGTGTCGATCTGGGAGGAGAGGTCGTGCTTGATGTTGCCAACAGCGGCTTGGAGCGCGTCTCCCTGGCTGCGAATTTGTTGCTTGACCTCGGTAAGGTCGCCTTGTTGCTGTGTGACGACCTGTTGCAGAAGCTTGAGGTCTTCCGCCTGCTTCTGGCCGTGTTGGCTGACCTCGTGGAACCAGTTTTCGAATCGTTTGCTTTGGTCGCGGAGCTCCTGAACACTGACCTCGAGTTGCATGAGCTTCGAGGCATCTGCGTTTTTGGCTACCTCGGTGCGTATGGCTTCCTGCATGTCCTGTTTGAGGGCAGTGCCGAGTTGGTCGATTTTCTTGGAGCTGGTGGCCGACTGTTGTGGGACAACTGGTGACATGGTGATGTCCCCGCTGACGTGGTGCCATTTTGCCCATGGGTCGCCGCCGAGAAGCCATGGGTCCTGTTGAGGGCTGGTGGTGATGGAGTTGGAAGTGGCTCCTTGCTGGATGTGCTTTCTGGTGCGCGCACAAGGTGGAGCTGCTGCTGGATTTTGGACCAACGTCTTTGACTTTGGTCACAATGACCTCGCTGCCAATTCCAGGGAGTACCCAGCTGGGTGGGTCTGCGGCTGCTCCGACTTCCCAGGTTGCTCCTTCTGCTGAACCGCGTCCGGATTGGAATGGGCGAGCACTCCATCCCCACTGTGTCAGAAGTTGGGTGATGCCGTTGCGCTGGATCCCGTGTGGCAGGGGGAAAAGCCGGTAGATGCTGTGGATCTTGACCTGCGCATACTCGTGTCCGGGTCGGAGTTGGGCAAAAGCGTTTTTCTCGTCCTGCTCCTGGACGCGAATGCCGAATTTGTTGCCGAGCCGAGTGATGGCCAGGGCAGAGTCGCATGTGCGAGCACGATGTTTGGCATCCTGGATGTTGGCGCCTGGCAGCCAGATCACGGTGTATCGTGGGTCGATGGCTCTACCATCAGGGGCACGTGGGTCGAAGTACGCGGATGCGCGCATGGAAAAGTACACAGTGCTCGATGGCAGTCCGTTTTCCATCTGCCGAGGCATATGTCCAAGCCCATACGTCTTGCATGACATAGTCGACGGGTTCCTCGATGGCCGGGTGAAATTTGCCACATCTGCCGCTACAGGAGGCATCTGGGCACTTCTGAGCAGTGGCGTATTCTTGACGATGGACTTGATCGGGGCTTTGACGAAAGCCTGCCAGTCGTGGGGCGAAGACGCTGACCCGAATCGTAGCTGTGGCGATCTCATCCTGGAGGGGTTCGGCAGATTTGGTGACTTGCTTGACCGTCGTGTCGCCGATCTGGATGAGGCTCCCTGTCAGAAGGACAGGTTCGTTGGTCCCAGTGTAGACCGCCGGGAACCGAATGGTTTCCGCTTGCTGCACAGTGGGCTGCGTGGGGAGCTCAGAGGTAGTGATGATGGCAAGGGCATCCGTGGAGATGCTTTGGGCGTCGTTGATGAAGTGCATAGCCTCGGCGACTGTGGTGACGGCGAAGCCTCTCTTGTTTGCGCTGACTTCAGCAAGAGGAATCTGGCTGATTTTGTTGTCCTCGTCATCTGTGAAGATGCCGTCGGGGACGATGAGCTGGTTGGGATCGACGTGGAGTTGTTGTGGGGCTTGTGGCCCTGCTTGGCTTTTTTGTTTTTGGCTGCTGGGATGTACGCTCCGTGTTCGGAGCTGGCTCGTGATGCGATGTGGTCCTGTAGTTCGTCGTAGAGGATCCAGCGGAACCTGGTGGCCGGTCTGGATGCTAATGCTTTGAGTGCTTGCCAGCAATTCTTGTCTTTCAGGGCCTTTTGAATGGGCCCGGTGCCGAGCTTGGCAATTGCCTGGTCGGTCCTGTCCTGCGCAGCGTCCTCTGGTACTCCTTTCAAGATGAGGATTGCTTTGAGTTCGGCGTGTGTGCTGGGTTGGAGCGGGCCGCCTGCTCGGAGTTCGCCAGGCTGGCTAAGCGTGGCGAAGGAGTGGTGCCATTGTTTGAGGTGGGCCTGAGTAATGTGGTCCCACAATTGGAGGTGCCACGCAAAGTGGGCAGCAGCAATTGCGCCACAGTCTCCTTCACAGGTGGAGCTGAAGACATGTTTGTGCTGGAAGCGGATGGGTGGCCAATTGTGGATGGCTGTGAGGTCGGTGGCAAGATTGAAAGCTGCTGCAGTGTTTGGCGAGTCTGGCCTATCCCAGCAGATGGCCTGGGTGTAGTTGTTGTCCTGCTCACAAGTGAGCAGTGTCCAGTGCTGGTTGCGTGGGAAAACAGTGACAAGACGGTCAGAGTGTGACACCCGGATGTCGTCGTGGACACAGGAAAGGTCGGTGGTGTTCCCAAGCAGTGCGTGTGCCTGGTGTGGCGTGATGACGGTCCAAGGACGGGGATCAAGACAGGCGTTGTAGTTGAAAGGTCATCCCAGGTGTGGTCGGCTGTGGCCAGCCCGGCTGCCCGCAGGCGAGAGGAGGGAGCCGTCTCGTAGTAGGTGCATACCTGGCTGGTGATCAACTCATTGTCAGTTTTGTTGTAGCCGGCCGGGTAGACATGGATTGCTGCTCCCCACCCTTGGAGGGAGGTTTCAGCCTTCTTGAGCTGAGCCAGGGTTGTTGGCTTGTCTAGCGTGACCAGGGCATCGGGTTCTCCGTCCTCTGTGAGGGTGAGGGTGCGCGGCATGAACATGGACGGTGTGATCCAGCGTAGAAGCCGGTCTTGCAGGAGCTTGTGCTGGTACTCCTGGATCATTCCAACTGGCGAGCGCTTTGGGCGTCCAGTGTTGATATGAATAACCCAGTCAACGATGTGGCCGAAAATTTAGACCGCCTGTAAGGGTGCTGCCAGTTGTCCGATTAAGCACAGAGCATGCCTGGCCGGTCCAGGAAGGGGTGTCGAAGGCATCAGGGTGTTCAGGAAACCGGCTTCGCCCGGGTGCAAGAAGCGCTTCATGCCGGTGCTGCTGGAGATGACCGAAAATCCTCGAAGGCCGTGTTGGCGCAGTCGGGTGTCGGAGAGTGGCCCCGATCTGCACCCGCAGGGACAGGCCTGTAAGGCCACCCCCCACGAGTGCAATGCCGTAGGTGCAGGTGCTGCTGTGTTGAGGTGGCGCAGATCGTTGCCATATTGAGGATCTCCGTACTTCTGCTCCTCCTCCAATGTCCACTGAAGGTTGGACTCATCAGCATTGCTCCAAATGGGCCACTCCTGAATGACCGACCCCACATTGGGAAAAGGATTGGTGCTGGGCCACGGGTGCAAGGAGAAGGGCACTCGTGAGTCTTCTGGGATCATGATGCACCACCATCGTTTGCGCTTGCTGGCCCATTGGTCCTGCAAGTCAAGGGTGACATGATGTACTTGCCATCTTCGTAAGTTGGCATACTGCACGAGGAGGTTCTGCACGTCCACATTGTGTCGGGCATTGTGCACACATTCCAGGATGAGGCCCACGGATTGCAAATACCAGGAGGCCTTCAAGATGGAGATCAGTGTTTTCCCACGGCTGTCACGCATTCCTTGTTGGTCTCCCTGGGCGCTGTGTGGCTGGCATGGAAAGCCTGCCGATAGCAGCCGATCCGATTTGGTGGAACTTGAAGAGCGCCTCCATGTCCTCCATCTGGGCGTGCACCACCTGATGGCCCTGGCGCCGAAGTGCATCACACGCCAGCCGGCTGTGGTCGAGGCAGGCGACCGTCTTGATTCCCACAAAGTTGGCTTTCTGGGAGAAGCCACCAAGGCCGGCGCAGAGCTCTTTCAGCTGAAAAAATGCCCCACGGGTGGGCTTCGAGTGGGCGATCCATCCCGCATGATTGTCCAAATGAAGCCGAGGCAACTGTCCAGCTGCGGAAAGCTCCGCATTGTAAACCGTGACCAGCGTGTCCTGGTCGATGCGGGCGTCCACGAGGAAGCGCTGCTCAGGGGAAAGCCCCATCATCTCAGTGCCCAACTCGGTGTTGGCGGCGATCGCCCGCGCCACCAGAGTGGCCCTGCTGCCGAGAGCAAGGCTTGTCAGACCTCTCCTAAGCTTAGCTGTTCACCGGCTCTACCACCGGGAGGTGCTCGGGCCAGAGCTCTTCCAGCGGGCATAAACCTAGCAACAAACACCAAAGCCCTTTGGTAGGGATCTTGCAGCATGAAAGCGAGAAAGTCTCGAACAGCGGGGTTGTATGCAAGCACAGCATGCAGCAAGCCAGACACTGGGCCAGACACTGGGTGCCCGAGAGCTTTTCTCAGTGCAGGGCACACTTGCTGACCAAACTGTTGAAATTTACGGGAAAGCACTTGTTCAGCAATCCGTGTGTCCGTTTCCCAATGGGTGAAAGCTCAGCCATAACCTCCAACCCAAGCAGGAGGCAATACGTTGCGCATGAAGTGGAGAAGCGAAGTCACCTCAGAGGTCTTGAGCATGTGCGGAAATGGGGATGATGCTTGGACATCATGCGTAGAGATGCCTACGAGATGCCAATGAGATGCCTATTTGAATTGATTCTCTCTCTTGTGTACTAAGGTCCGACACTTATTTGGCTGAAGCTTTCAGATTCCCAGTGGCAAGCGCTGTGAGGAGTGCAAAGATGTAGAGCCTTCATTTGTAGATCCTAGGGTCATTGATTTGTTTAACTAGCTTCTTGGTCATTGGTTTGTTTAACTACGGGCCGTCACTGCCGCAGCAGTGCAGTCTTACAAACTCTGCTTATTTGTACTCATCATGGCGATCTCACATTGGATCATGAAGGCCCCTTATGGATTTCTTGGTTCGGGGTGAATGCAATATGGCAATGAGTGCAGGTGGGTTCTTCTTCCCAACAAACAATTGAATATGCGCAAGGGAAAGCCGAAGGCCTTCGGACATAGATGCAGACTTCTTTGGCAACATGGTGTCATGACCTCCCTCCTCCGCGCGGTGGTGCGAAAGAAGCGGGTCGTTGGTCTGAAGACCCCCACGGAGACCGCGGCCACCCCGGGATTTTTGCACGAGGAGACAGTCGTGGTGAACTCTTTGCGCCAGGATCAGGTCGTCAGAGGTGTGCCTGTCGCGCGCCACTCGGCGAGCCGGGAGTAATTTCAGGGTTCGATTGCTAATATGTTAAAGTATGTTAGGGTACACGTATGTACACACCACATCAAGGCCTTGAGCCTATGCACAGCATAGACCCTCAGTGCGTTGCAGCCCGTGGTGCAAACAACACGCCGCGCTGATACACTCACAGGTTCATTCACAAAAGGCAAACAGGTCAGCCGGTTGCTGCGTCCTTCCGCGATGCTCTTGCTTTAATTGTTGGTGGCATTGCTACTGGTCTTGTGACGTGGACCTGTGTGTGCACAGTTCAGAAGTTGCTGGTTGTATTTGCGAGGCATGATCTGCCCTCTGGTTGCCTTGCTCTGAGAAATCTTGTTGTAGGTCCTGATGGGGAATTCGCCTGTTGATGTATTCTTGCCAAGCCAGTAGCATGTGTCGCACTGCCTTGCAAAATTCGCAAAGCGGCCACCCCATTTGTTGAAGTAGCTGTGCTACGGGCCGCAGATCTGTTCACGATGTACGCGCTACGTCGAACAATCCACCGCGTTGGCCGTTCCGTCGCGATGTCTCTGTGGTTTGTTTTTGCGCTTTGCCTTTTTGCGCGATGTGTGTCTGTAGCTTTGCGCCTTGTGGTAGTACTGTGATCTCTGCTTGTTGGAAGAACAGCCCATCTGTGTTATCCAGTGTGCTGTGAAAGCCTTTGTCGACTGTTAAACTTCACAGATGTAGAAATGTATGACCAGCTGCTGTCCAATAATGTGGTTCATCACGCAAGTTCTGTTCCTGGCTCAAGTTGTTGTAGTGGAAATTGCGTCGCGAATCATCATGTGTAGCCGCGCCGCTGTCAATCATAAGGCTGGCCCATGTGTTGTCTTCTGTGTGTTGCCGCGCTGCGCCAACCATGGCAACTGTCACCCCTTGTAGTCCTTGAGACGGGTACTGCTGATGAATCTGCTGGTTGTGGTAGCGCTAGCTGTTGCAGCTGTGCCTGATCCTGATGAAAGGAACAGTCGTCTGTCAAGGTTGCCAGCGTCGCAGTTGTAGATCGCCACCCCCCATTGCTTGGCCATGTCCAAGTTGCCCGTCGCGTGCCCTCACTGAGATGTAGTGTAGCTTGTTGCTCAGTTGTGTCCACTATTCTGCCACTCTCAAAGTCGCTGCTGTTTCCAGTTGGCCATGTATGACTTGTAGTTGCGATTGCCCTGACTGTCTCCGAAGTCTTTTGTATGATGGATCTCGTCGCCCAAGGAACGCTGTCATCTCGCACTTCCATTCTTCAAACGCGGTGTGCGCTCCCATGCGTCGTGGTGGTGCTGTTTTGCACCGGCTGCTGCTGCTGCTGTCGCTGTTGAGCCCCAATTCCTTGCGTGGTGTGTGTTTGGACAGGCCGCAGGATGTTTCTGCTCGTGTTAAAACGGGAAGGCAGGAGGCGGAGCGCATGACCAGCAGACAAAAGCAGTAGAAGAGAACCGGGCCAACGCCGCCAATGGTGACATCACCAACACACCAGAAAAGGCCAGCGTCGCCAGCGCCGCCGCCTTCACCGCCAGCAAGAGAACGAGACGACGCCGTTGCAGAAGAGCACCGCAACAAAAAAACAAGCGCTGGAGCAACCCAGAACAGGAGACCAACCAAAAGGTCAAATGAAAACCAATGCCAGTGCATTTACAACACTAGATGGCAGCGACACGAGACCGCATCAAACGAGGATGGGCGAGAGATAGAAAGGACTCTACTAGGGCCAGCCAGGCATGACGCAGAAGGGCTTGGGCCTGCGCAAGGAATGCAACAGGTGAAGGGTCAATTGTTCTTCCCAGAGATTGACGGCCGCCCACTGACACCAGAACGGCAAGCAAACATCACCAAGGCAAAATGGGATCTCAAACCGGAACAACAAGCTGAAGTACCAGCGCGAAGAGTAGCAAAGGGTTACACAGAACCCATCACAGACCACGACCTGCAAGTTTGCCTTTGGTTTGCACACAGGGACTACTTCTCGCAACGGCGTCGGCTTGCAACTGGTCGGTGTGCGCAGGGGAGATGTCAGCGTTGCGTTCTCACACACGCTACAGCAATCACACGCAGCCTGACTGCGCGACCGCCAAACGACCTTCGCCAAAAAATGAGCAAGACCGCGCCCGCAATCATCATCTATGTAGATGGGCCCCTGCTCATAGGAGTACAGAGCGTCATTGACACGACGGGGTGGCAGAGCCCGCCCAGGGCAAACCTGTCTGGGCTTTTGACAAGCGCCAAGAAAATCGCTGAACACACAGGGTTTGGAGCCAGTCAAGTTGCTGGTGCACACTCACTAACATCGCCCCTCCCTTTTTTGTGTGCTCCTGAGCTTTGCGTTCTGTAGTTGCTCGTGCTTTAGGGAATGAAACGCTGCGCAGAGCCGGGGAGAACGCCCAACGTGACTGTTCCTGTCAAAGATAACAATGGGCGTTCCAACAACCAAATCACATTGTCTATTGAGCAACTCTGGCAATGTGAATGACCCCACAAACACACACATGTTCAAAAGGAAGAAGAATGCGACAAAGAAAGAAGCACGTGGAAAAAGTACAAACACGGCGCAGGAGTTCTGCAAGAGACACGTCGTTGAAGGAGATGAAGAGCAAGACAAAAGACCAACAATGCCGCAAGCACAGGTTGGAACCGGTGAAGAGATGCACATGCGACACAGCTAAAAGAAATCAACCGCTTTGCGCCCGGCAAAATATCCCTACATTCACACAGTTGCTAAAATAGCCCGCCAGGGAGTATGCGCAAACCCAGTGGCTCAACTAAACAGACCGCAAAAGATCGCGAAAACCCAATGCAAAGGCGACAAGCTGTCAAGGGGAATATTGGGCATCCCCAACCCTCAAAGGGTTTGCCTTTTCCCCGGCTTTTATCAACAAATTCCGAGGTTGTACTTGGGCTCAACAACACAGGCCGCACGGCGGCCATACACATATCTACACGCACATGTAGGCGCCTCCTCCCATCGACTTGCGCCCCAGCCAAAACTCATTGTGCGATGGGAGAGTTTAAGCGGGGGATAACCTGTCCAAATGGCTCAACTGTTGGAAAGAAACGTCGCGCACATGCTGTGTGAGGCTACCAGAAATAGTTGAACTTAACAACAAGCTCCTGCTATTTGAGTTGGTCTTAGTATGTTCCTCTTTCTTGTTCTTAACATAGCGCATTGCGCTCTTTTTTCTCTGTGTCCGTGGCATCCTTTCTGCGCGCCTGTGACCTTGTCCTGTCTTCTCTTGTTCGGCGTAACATGTCATTTGGGCTTGCAATACTGGATGGTTGTAAAGACAGTTTGTGACCAGGCGTGTGTAGGCTACAAAAAGCGAGTAGACAATTGTGAAGACACACAGCGCTTGACTGCGCTCCAGCCACCCGAAACATCGCAGAAGGTACAAGAGTTAACTCGTAGCTGGCGCAGCTGACAAGTTCGTAGAGACATGTACCTAGCGCAACGCGCGGCAGAAACACACGCGCAAGGCTGCGCAAGCAGATCGCCACAGGCGCTTTTTAGGACAGAGCTGCCCGCAGTGCTTGATGCACAAAACCAGGTCCACGTGTGTCGTAGATAGCAACACCAGGACGTTCTGGTTTCCAAGAAGTCCCTTGCGCGGAAGGCGCTTTGTTTTTTTTGCAGAAGGGGGGTACTTGGCCTTTTTTTTGACTCTTGGCTAATAAGGGCTAGTTGGGGGTAAACAGCAGGGAGGAAAGAAGGGGGTCAAGGCAAACAAAACAGGTTTTCAGGGTTAGCCGAGTCATCAGGCATTCATGTGCCACTGTGTGTTTGTGTGTTGTGTGTGGTCGACCTGTGCTTTTCCTGCCCAGCCGCCAAGTTTGGCTGCGAGGTATTGATGAGCGGGGCCACGGAGTGGTGCACGTGCACGTGCGGCAGGACCAAGAGACCTTCACCTTCAACTATCCTCGCACACTGCCAGGGGAGAAGCTGAATCTCCGAGTGGGCCTCGCGAAGAAAGACCGCTTCAATAAAAAGGACATGTTCTTTGCCGTTGTGGCTGTTAAGGCAATCTTGCTTCCACTGAAGACGGTCCTTAGGTGATTCTCTTGTGGACTCCTGAACTCGCTGCTGGTTTTGCAGTTGCGACGGAAGCCGCCTTTGATTTTGAATGTAGGAAGAAAGCAGAGCGCTGAATTGCGCAAACATAGGTTATGAGCCTAAAAGCGGCCTAGCGCAGAAACCATGGATGGTGTCGCTGCGGAGGAAGGGTGCCGACAACGGCTTTGGGAAGAGGTGAGAAGGAGAGAGGGCCGCTTCGTGCTGATTCAGAGGCTCAAAGGCGCAGCAGTGCGGGAAAGGCGCGACGCCGGTCATGGGGAGAAAACAGTGGGAGAAAGGCGGCCCACATGGGTGACGGTACCAACGCAACACAAGAGGAAGCCGGCTATGCTCTGGATGGTCGTGAGGGAGCTAGAGGTCGTCGCGACACGAGCTTTGCGCCCCAAAATCATTGCGCGGAGATCTCGAAGCAGAGCACCGTCGTGCGAGACAGCGCGCGCGGCATCTGTAGGCCCCACGTCGCTGCAGCGCGACAGCCAGGGGGCTGTGTTGTCGCAGACCTCGGGAATGGCGATAGAAGAAGAAAGATTGCAGAAGGCCCGGACGCATGAAGCAGGCGGTGGAAATCCTGGCCTGTTGGAAGCAGGTTGCCGGAGCGGTGGCTCCTTGACATGCCACCCTTGTGGCGATCTTCGCAGCGCAGAATGCCCTATTTGTCCAGCACATAATGACTTGCGTTTGCCTTGGCAAGCAAGTCAGGCGGGCTTGCAGTTCGCAAAACCGGCTCGCATCCTTTCTGCCCGACTGACACGTTACGCGGCTTCTGGCCAAGAAGCCCTCTGGGTCTGGCGTTCGTGCCAAGTCCGTGACCTTGAGCCTTGTAACAACATCTGCCCGCGTTCTAGGACTCACGGCTGCGCGGGAAGCAACGACCACTTTGGTGTCACAGACTTGGTGTTTCTTTCGCAACCATTCTTTGTTGAAAACGATTGGGCGTTTTTAGGTCAAACCGGGATCATGTTCGTGTACGCGTATAGACTTAAACAAACAACTGGGTTGTGTTTGGGCCGCGCCGAGGTTTTGCGTGAGTAGAATTCAGGAGGCGGGCTCCTACCGCCTGGCCATTGATGAGCGGACCGCGGCCTCGGTGGATGAAGTCACGCCTCGGTGCCCGCACTTCCGCCAAGAATGCGGGGGCTGCGCCTTTCAGACGCCCGGCTCACGTTTTCCAAGCCCTTGGCTTGTGACCGCACCTTTGGGGCCAGACAGCCACACGGGCTCAGGGTTCCTTGCTTGATAGACTAAAAACCATACAATCCCATGAGGCCAATTCAGCCACAGTTCCCAGTTCCCAGCTGTGTGTCCCAGCCGTTCTTTCCAGTCCTTCTTTTCAGAAGACGGCAACAGCAATAGGGAATGCTATTGGTTCCTCAATAAAATGATGGGTGATGCACAATGGGGCATCGACCTTTGGAGATGTATTTCCAGATAGACAAACCTGAGCAAGGGAAGGGGGTGGGTGTTCTTTCCAGTGGGCCGCAAAGCGGCCTGCGAGCCCAAACACAAGTGCTCCAAATAGGTCACAGGCTGTTAAAAAACCTGTGTCACACGTGTTTAGTGCTGATTTCATGCATAATTGGTCAAAAACCAAATGTTTTTGCAGCTTCAAAATCTGAACCAGCAAGCTGCAGCCAACGATCACGGCTGAAATCCTTCTCAATGGGAAGCCGATGCCTCCAAACAAGCTACGCATGTAGCGAAACACATTAGAGTGAAGCTGGGTTGTGATATAGTCTTGCAATGATTGCCACCCTCTGTCCACACATTGAGTCCCCGCTGTGAAACAAGCGGGTCGTTGCGTGCTCTGGTCACAGAGACTTGTCTAGCAAACTCATGTTTGCTGGGATGGACATTGGTGGCTCTCCAGACGCTTTTTGCCAGCATCTGCAACCAACATTGGCCATGCGTCAACCTGCGTGCATTGGCATGTGTGTTCGTGCGTGTGCGTAACATTTTCCCCGCACCCCCCTCCCCCACCCACCCCCCCTCCCTGGCTCACAGCTGCAACTCGACACATCGCAGCCCAAAAGCAGCAAACACGAAAAGCGCCAAAAGTACCAGGTTTTTTACCAGCCTGTTTCCTCCAGATAGTAGCCCGGTTCTTTTCTATATTTAACGTGATGTTAGACACCCGTCAGGCTATGCTTTCACCCGTTTTTCAGTTCGAAGCCTGCCTGTGGCCTCGCAGCTGGCTTTGCTGGTGTTGCCATTGATGTTGCTGCCATATCTGATTTCTTTCTACACACACAAATAGTTTCCCGACAAGTGTCTAGCGTCACTTTTGGTTTCACACAGATAAGAAGTCGGATATATGGCATCACCAGCAAAGCTTCTTGTAAGGAAGCCGCAAGGCCTCGAAAAAAGCACGCCTCAAACGGGCATAAGTGTGGCTCCAAACAGTAGCACGAACGGTGTCTTTGGTCACTTTTGGACCCTGTATGGTACAGAATCGGGTATAGCAGCAACATCGCCGGCATCACCAGCACTTACAAACAGCTTTCTTGGTGATGCCGGTGATGTTGCTGCTTTATCCTATACTAATTCCAATAGTGGCGTTAGACATCCGCCGGACTATTTGGAGCACTTTTTGGCTTAGTGCAAATAGTAGCCCGCCCGAAAAGAAACAGCAACATCACTGACGAGTGTCTAACGTCACTTTCGAATTCTAAGTCGAAAAGCAAAGCCACGCTTCGAAAGGGCCCAAGCACAAGCAGGCTTCGAGCCCAAAAGTGCTCCAACTTGTCCTATACAGAAAAGAAATCGGATATAGGAGCAACATCGCCGGCATCACCCGCGAAGCCGCTTGTAAGCGAGCCGTAAGGCCTAGAAAAGGCACGCCTCAAAAAAAGGACCGAACCACGGGCAGGTTTCGAGCCGAAGAGTGCACCAAATAGAGCCCGAGTGGTGACTAACGTCACTTTTCGATCCAAGAAAGAAAAGGAATTGGATATGGCAGCAACATCACCGGCAGCGAATCCGCTTGTAAGAGCTGGGATGCACTCACCTTTCAAACGCGCCTCACCCTTGCAGACAATTGGTCGGCGGACCAATTGAAATGAATATAATCGAATTCAAGGAGAAAAAGAGTTTGCTTGCGGCAGGGTTCTATTCAAGGAGTTGATTTCAAAATCCCCGGCATTCCAAGGAGCTTGAGCTATGAGGCGCAGCTCCGGGAGAAAGAAAAGTTGCTGAATCTGTTGATGGAGCAGTTTGAGTTACCTTTTCTGGCGGTGGACATGGTGCCTTCTACACCCTACGGCTGGCACGCGCGCACAGAGTTCACTATCTTTCTCCGAGATGGGCTACAGCTGGGCCTTCATCCAGAGGGAAGCCCCATCCCCATCGCTCTGTCACAGTGCTTCTTGAAAGCGCTTGGCCGAAGCTTTCGATTGCATTCAACCGTGAATGCTAGAAGTGACGACGGCAAGCCATGGTAAGCTTTAGGAAGTATCAGGGTTTGGCAGTGCCAGTTTGAGCATGACATACGCGTGTTGGACACTGGGCTGAAATTAGTTTCACCTTTCTCACGCAAAAGATTGTTTCCACCGTTGGCATGTGTCACTGATACCGACTCCGGTCGCGAGCGTTCTGAAGGATCCGCCGCAACGCAGAAGTTTGCGGATAGTGAAACGCCGACAGATTTTGGTGCTTTTATGGACCATCACGTAAATCAGAAGTTGCGGACACCCACGGGATCCGTGGAACCCGTGTTGCAACTTCGAAGTTGTTCCGGTCCGTCCACAAGCAAAGTGCACTTTCTTTTCGATTGCCAAAAGCGATAGCTGGTGATCTGCGACTGGGCGGCAACGGTGCATCTGTTGTTTAATTTGGCACCGTTGGGTACATGTTTGAGGGAATCTTAAAAGAAGCGACGCTTAAGCACGCGTCTTCCTGGGCAGACCTCCAACCGTTTGTGCCCAAATGGATCTCTTCGGGCCGTCTCACATGACGCAGCAAGCAAGCCTAGTAAGCCACGCAAGCAATTCCAAGCAAGCCAAGCAAGCTAACCAAGCCAAGCAAGCCAAGCAGGCAATTAAGCCAAGCAAGCCACGCGAGCAATTAAGCCAAGCACGCCCGGCAAGCCCAGCAAACCAAGCAAGCCCGGCAAGCCCAGCAAGCCATTAAACCAAGCAAGGCAAGCAAGTCCAGCAAGCCCCGCAAGCCCAGCACGCAAGCGTAAGCCCAGCAAGCCAAGCAAGCCGAGCAAGCCAAGCAAGCCACGAAAGCCCAGCAAGCCCAGCAAGCGCAGCAGGCAAGTCCAGCAAGCCAAGCAGCAGCATTTACCCCAACCAAGCGCGCCAAGCACGCCCAGCAAGCCAAGCAAGCAAGTCCAGCAATCCAAGCAAGCCCGGCAAGCCCAGCAAGCCATTAAACCAAGCGAGGCAAGCAAGCCCAGCAAGCCCCGCAAGCCCAGCACGCAAGCCGAGCAAGCCAAGCAAGCCACGCACCCCCAGCAAGCCCAGCGCGCAAGCCCAGCAAGCGCAGCAAGCAAGTCCAGCAAGCCAAGCAAGCAAAGCCCAGCAAGCCGGGCAAGCCAAGCACGCCACGCACGCCCAGCAGGCCCAGCAAGCCAAGCAAGCCAAGCAGCATTTACCCCAAGCGCGCCGAGCACGCCCAGCAAGCCGAGCAAGCAATTACGCCAAGCAAGCCCAGCAAGCCCAGCAAGCAAGTCCAGCAATCCAAGCAAGCCAGGCAGTTACCCCAAGCGCGCCAAGCGTGCCCAGCAAGCCAAGCAAGCCCAGCAAGCCCGGAAAGCCAGGGCAGCCAAGCAAGCCAGGGAAGCCAAGCCAGCTCAACAAGCCAACAGCCGTTAGCGACCGTGGGGCCCCGCAACACCATTGCCTAGGTCAAAGCCAAACCTGTGGTAATTCCCAGTGCAGTTTCAAGAGTGGCAGGTTGAGGCATTGTTTCACGTGCTGTGTTTTGCAGCACTTTTATCTTTCTTCTGCCTATCCCAATGGAGCGGAGCACACTTGCTGCCACGCTTCGCACGCAGCTACTTTTTTTTTCCGGCTACCGTTCTTGCCTGTTTGAGCGGCTCTTCTGTCTAGACAAGTTGAAGACTACGCCTGCGCAAGCAGACGCATGAACAGCTGGGTTCTGGTGGGTTGAACGCCGCTGCAAGTTGACCATAACTTTGACAAGGCAACCTGCGCGCGCAACAGACCTGTGAGGCATGATGCCCAAGTGCCATAGTCAGCTCAAATTGCGCGCAGGTGTATGTCCGTCTATGTGACTATGTTTGATCAGTCTGTTTGCGCGGGAGAAGCGGCCTGTGCATGAACAGCGCAGAGTTTCCGGCACGCCGGCGTGAGCGTGCGTCTGTCTGCATGTGTGTCTGCGTTGGCTGCATAGTCAACATGTTTGAAAACACCGAACCACCCCCCCACCCCACTCCCAGCTAATCACGCCGCGGGCCAAAACAAGCAATAAAGCCATGCAAGCCCAGCAAGCCGAGGAGTCCAGCAAACCTAGCAAGCCAAAGCAATCCAAGCCAGCCCGGCAAGCCAAGCAAGCCAAAGCAATCCAAGCCAGCCCAGCAAGCCAGCAAGCCAAGCAAGCCAAGCACGCGCAGCGAGCCAAGCAAGCCAAGCAAGCCAAGCGTGCCAATCAAGCGCTGAACGAAAGAAAGAGCAACAGACGAGCGCGCCAACAAACAACCGAAGAGACAAAAGCATTGCAACATACGAACCACAAGTCAAGGCAAGCGAACCAAACAAAAAAGAACAAAATCCAAACAAGACGCGACAGAGCCAGACTGGTGCCCAAGTTGACATGTGAGGCCACCTGCACCCCGAGGAGTCCCAGGTGCAGGGGGAAAACCTGTTGCATTGGGTGCACCGCAAATTCTGAGTGTTGAAGACAAAATTATGAAAAGGGGGTCGGCTTATTTGTTTGTTCCTGACCCCCTCTCCAACACCTGGATTTCCCAAGATTTCCCAAGACACACCTGCACGTTTCCTGAAGTACGGATTTAACGTGACAAAATAGAATAGGGGTTTGAATTGCCAACCGGTTCGGACCTACCAATACATGTACCGTTGCACTCCCAGTCTGCAACTTGTGGTGCGGGATTGCGGCGCAATGACACACTTTATACCCTGTACTTTCTGTCAACTTCTGACACTGTACTTTCTTTCTACATGCCTCTACATGCTTCTGTACTTTCTTCTTCACCACACATTGACCCATGATGAAACAAACACATTGGTCGGGCAAAAAGCCGAGCCAGATATCGGGCCTCTGAGAGGATCGGTGTTGTTGCCGTTGTGTTTGTCATCCATCAGGGTTTGGACCGTGGGCGCTCCTTTGTCCGATCCAAACTTTTCGGTCCCATTGGTAAGCGTGCGGGGCAACCCTCAAGGTCCCTGGGGTTTTTTAGATATATGTACGGCCAAAGGGCCCCAGCAAATTCTTGTGAGCTGTTTTGTTCGACTCATTCAAACCTTTGGTGCAGTGCGCAGCGGTTAGCGGAGTTTGGGCAGAGGCATCTGTTGAGGGGGGCCGTATGGTTTGGTCTAATGGGGATTTGTTGAGTGTGACCTGGTAATGCTTTGAGAATTGATTTTCATGGCACCGTTTCTCTCAACTAGAGTTTCTTGCCTCTAGAGGGCTCTTGCGGGGGAGTACCTTTTTTAATGGTATCCTTTCTGAGCCTTTCTGAGGTTAGTTTCAATCAAGGGCAAAGAGAAGGCCGCCATTTGTTTGGCCTCCCTGTTTGCACACACACACACACACTCTTGTGACTTGAAGAGCATTTGCCGCGATTGTGTCTGTCACGCACACACACACACACACATTTGCGAGTGGTTAGGCTCAGCCATGAACCATCTTGACATGAGCTTGCGATTTCGATACTCAATTCTACGGAAGGAGGTACTTAAGCCAACTGATTCGGGCTGTTTGAAGAGGCTTCGTGAATTTCGCCCAAGCCAAATCTTACTTTCGAGATTGGGGTAGGGCCGACGATCGCTGTGGCGCTTTTCGGGCCGCACAAAGAGGTAAGGCCCCTTTTCTGGCTGTGACGCATGTGCGGCCCGCCTCAAGATGCAGGCCTTGACAACATGTGCGTTGCCCGTGCCATACAATTTCAAAATAGGCCTAAGGGCGACCGACCGTCGCCCTTTGGAACCTTCGCCTTTGGATTTTCCGATTTTCCGGGCGCCGCTTTCCCAACCCCGGAGGCCGCTTTCCTGGCGCTGCGCGCTGCTTTGCGCCATGCAAACTGCGAGCCCTTCGACGAGCGCACAGGCCGGGGCTACCTGCGGTCCCTGGTGCTGCGCTCCGCAGGGACAGGCGGCTCGAAGGCCTGGCCAGAGGCTTGAGAGTTTCAGCGTTTCAGTGTTTGACGGTTTGACTGTTTGCGTGTTTGCGTGTCCTTCTGTTTGCGTGCGAATTTGTGTGCCAGTGTGTCTGTCCAAGTGTCTGTTTCTGTCTCTCTGTCTCCCTGTCTCTCTGTGTCTTTGTCTTCCTGTCTCTCTGTGTCTCTGTGTCTGTGTGTCTGTGCGTCCGTATATCGGCGTGGATGTTCGTGCGTGGGTCTGTGTCTGTGTGTGTGTGCTTCAGGAATTCAAGTAATAGGTTAGTTTTAGACAGGGGAGCAGTGCATGTGCGTGTGTTTTGCAAACTGAGCTGGTTTGCTGGGGAATGATCAAGAGTGGGAAGACCGTGTGGGCTTTGAGTAACACCTTAAACACGGAAGAAACGGCAGCGAAACAGCGCCTGACATCAGAAGGGCCCAAACATTGGCGGACGTGGCAAACCCAGCTTGCAGTTCTTCTCAAGAGACCAACACACCAGAGACTGCTCCAACCTACTTTTCGACATCATTGGGCCAGGTTCGCGGTGTCTTGTTCGACAATGCATTGTGCCTGAAAGTAAAGTGAAAAACAACTGTGTTGGGATCAATCCAAATCAATTGGCGAAACTCTTTCGCAGAAGATTGCAGGATTTTGCCTTTTGTGGAGAAAGCCATAGCCAACTATACGCAGAGCATGAGGCTTTTGAATGTTTTTTCAGAAGCAAACCCGTATTGTTGGGGACACCCTGGACATTCGCGGGCTATATGGCCCACAGAAAGTCTGCCCTAAACTGTGCTCAGGAGGTGGCTGTGGATACTCGTTTTTCCGGTTTTGCAAAACTCGGGTCTATTTGGCCATTTTAGTAGGTTCCACTCGCCCTCTCATGATCAGCGTGTTTTTTGAGCCTCTGGCAGTTTTCGAGCAGGTTTGCTGATTGTTTCGCAGCTGGGACGCCATCCCCAAGGCCCGAACGACTCGTCCTGTCAGGATGAGTTTCTCCTCACGCTACATCTTTTCGTCGCGCTTGAGCCTTGCGCGTTCGATGAGCTTTCTCACAATTTTATGATTGTTTTCTTTGAGCTTTGGCCATCGCGTTATAGTCTCTGTCTGGAACAGAAATTATGTTTGATTGCGGAAGGCACGCGCATGCAAGCGTTTGCTTGGCAATGGCGTTGCCATTTCGCTCAACAGGTCAATGGGTCTTGCGCTCAGCTTAAACAATACTCAGCTTAAGCAATGAGGGCAAAACCTGATCTGAGGGCGCTATGTTTGCTTGGCTCACGGCCAGCGCCCTGAGCGCTACAGCAAATTAGCAAGCGCTTGGTACGCGTGTCAGCCATACGCGCAGTTCGTCATTTGCATATCACGCAAACCACACAATGTTGATCATAGCTACTCCATTTGTTCCAAGCAAGGTTTTGTTTGGAGTAAAGTCTCGTTGGCCTGGTTTCAAGATTTGTTTGCCAAGGCGGGAATCCTTTGCAAGTCAACCATTGTTTGTGGGATTACTCAAGGTTTTCTTGGTTCTGTTGAGATTCCTCGAGGCTTGTTTGGCTTTACCATGCCAATACTGCTTGCTGTGCTTGTTGTGTTTTTCGCGGGTGCTCAAGTTTTTGGCCTTTGTTGAGTCTCTCCGAGTTTCGTTGTTTCTCTATCCAATGGGTTTTCTAATAAAGTGTTGCTTCTATCCAACACCAGAGGTGCCTTGATTCAAGGCCAAATGAGCAACAATCATTGGGATGGAAATGGTACAGAGCCGCAAGGACGCCTTCCAGAAAAAAATGCAGGTAACCACTCTTGGGGAGTTCTTGGTATGGCAGGACTGAGAAAACAAGCAAAAGAAAGAAAGTGATAACGCGTGCTCAAGGGTTCGACAGCCCATGTTTAGGGGCAGCCAAGGTTGCTGACATGTTTTGTTTCTGGTTATCTTGAGTGCTTAGCTTGCGTTTGTGCTTGCCGGGGTTGCTGATTTTCTGTCCCGCAATTGATTGATGACAATTTAAGGTGATTTTGGTTTGTTGGGTGTCCTCGAGTGTGTATTTGTTTGAATCCCAGATGTGCTTCATGTTTGTGGTTGTGGGTGCTGTCATTGGGTTTTGCTTCATTGATTGAGTCTTTGCATGTCCTCAACACACGTGTATGAAATCATAAATTTCATAGCGCTGTTTTCAGCAAAATGCCAAGTGACTTTCTTTGCAGGAAGTGCTGGCAACCTTCGTGACGCTGCTGCCCAGCTGAACAGCACGCTTTGGGAGGCTCAAGGCGGTTGGTCTCCGCTACCAACGTTTGAGCCAAACGAAAACAGGGTCAGCGTGGAAGAATTGTGGGTGGAGGTGACTGTGACTTCACGAGGCGCAGCCAGTGCGGGTTTGCGTTTTGCTTGCATTTTGCCTCCGACCGTCACTCCTGCTGACAGAGGGGGATTTCCTCGAACCACTAAAGACTCGAACCCCACAAAAGAGACAATGCCATGAAAGAGACACATTGAAAAACAAATTCAGGAGAGACATCAAGCCATGTGTAAAAATAAGCTAACTAGAAGATGGGTGGCCCAAAAGCATTCGCAGCGGCGGCAAGTTCTGCTAGCAAGTTCTCTCAGCAAGTTGCTCTGAGCAAGTCGTTGGCACGAGTTCCTCTGAGCAAGTTCTCCAAGCAAAGCTCTCTTCTGAGCAAGTTGTTGGTTCCAAGCAAGTTCTCTCAGCAAGTTGCTTTGAACAAGTTTCCGCTATTCGCGGAACACGTTCGTACTTAAATGTTGCGATTTTCCAGCCGGAGCTGGGGAAGTGGACTTAGCGTACTACTTCCGCACTTAAAAACTTTTGCTTTTCCAGGTGGCGCTGCCGCGGACCAGGGGGGAATCGAACCGCCGTGCGATCCGCGGACCGGAAAATCGTAAAAAGTTCTCAGTTTTTGAACGTCGACCCTGACCCACGCAGAGGGGATCGGGAATATTGAAAAGAAGTAAAATCGACCACGGCGATCCACGCAAAGCGTCGATCCACGACCGCAGGAAGTAGTAAAAGCTCAGTGTTTAACATCGACCACGCCGATCCACGCAGAGGGTCGATCCGCCGATCCACGCAAAGGGTTGATGCGCGACCGCAGAAAGTAAAAGTCCGTGGTTTTTTAGATCGACAACGCCAATCCACGCGGAGGGTCGGTTTCCCGATCAACAAGTTTGTGCAGGCTCGCCGCTTGGAAGAGTAATCTATACTTGTCGGGCTTTGCTTTCTTTCTTTCACGCGCGAGTTCACTTGATTATACTCTAACCAAACGTCACAGAAAGCCTCTCGTGTATCATCCTTGTGTAACTTGCTTGTGTCGCTTACTCAAGCAATCTCATGTAACTTGCTTGTGCAACTCGCACCAGCAATCTCTCATGTAACTCGCTTGTGTAGATCACTCAAGCAATCTCTCGTTCAAATCACTAGTGCGACTTGCTCTGCAGCCCTCTGGTGTATCATTTTCATGCAGCGTGCTCTAGCGAACTCCGATGTAACTTGTGCTGGTGTAACTTCCTCAGTGCAACTTGCTTTGCCAACCTCTCGTGTATCATCCTTGTGTGTAACTTGCTTGTGTAGAGTTTTCAAGAAATCTCTCATGCAACCTGCTTGTACAACTCGTTCAAGCAATCTCTCGTGCAGTTCGCTAGTGTACCTTGCTCAAGCATCATGCAACGTGCTAGTGCAACTTGCTCTGCAACCTCCGATGAAACTCGCTGGTGTAACTTGCTCAGTGTAACTGTACTTGCGCACCAGTTTTTCCGGAAGAACCCTTCGCAATGCTTTCGGGAAAAGCCACACAGAGAATTGCAACATAAATAAGATTTAAAGTGTTTGTGTTCTTTGCATTTATGTTCTTGAGAAAGCTGTGCGACCCTCGACTTTGGTTCGAGGCCCGAGGCTCCAGAGGAGCGGCTGGCCCACGCAGCGCGGCTTGCCGTGGAGGAAAGCGAGTCGCTGAAGGGCGTGACCTGGCCCCTTCGATGTCTCAGAGGAACGGGAATGTATTGTCTCGCATTTCCCAGCGGGAAGGAACGTGTTTTGTGATATGGCAATCTACGGAAACACTATACTTAAACTTATACGTATATACATATATAAGGACATTTATATATATATATATGGGTTTGTCCTTTTTTGGTGTGTTGAGTTAAGTTGAGTTGCTTCAAAAGGTGGAACCTCCCCGAATCATACCCCCGAATCATACCCCCGAATCATACCCCGAATCATACCCCGAATCGTACCCCCGAATCATACCCCTTAAAACGTATGCTGCAAGATGCTACTGTTCTTCTACCGTTTTGTGTTGTTCACTGCCTCCACAACAACCACCACCAGCGCTACCCAACACTACCACTACCACTACTCCTACTACTACTACTACTCAAATTACTACTACTGCTACTACCACTACTACTACTACTACTGCTACTACCGCGACTACGAGTATTACTACCACTACCGCTGCTACTACTACTCTACTGCTTCTACTTCTGCTTCTGCTACCCTTACTACTAACTCTACTACTACTACTACTACTGCTACTACTACTACTACGACTAATACCTCTATTACTTCTACTACTACTACGACTACAACCTTTACTGCTACTACTACTACTACTGCTACTACTACCACTACTACTAGTACTTCTACTACTACTACTGTTCCTGCTGCTGCTGCTGCTACTACTCACTACTACTACATACAACATGCTGAGTCTGGAGTCAGTGCCGTTTTGCACCTAGCCGAATCACACCCGCCCGAATCATACCCGGACAATGAGCTTCCCCTGCCAAGGTTAGTGCCAAGTTTTTTCAATTCGTCCGCACCACTACAGCCGCTGCTGCTTATGCTACAGCTGCTACCACTACTTTTGCAACTGCTACTACTACTACTACTACCACTACTACTGCTACGACTACTACTACTACTACTACCACAGTTACTACTACATTCATCATTCTGAGTTTGTACTCAGTGCTGTTTTGCACCTCGAATCATACCCAAATCATACCCGCGCAATGAACTTGCCTTGCCAAGGCTAGCGCCAAGCCTTTTCAAAGCTTCCGCGCCACTACAGTCGCTGCTTCTGCTGCTGCTACTACTACTACTACTGCTACTACTACTACTACTACTACTACTAGTACTACTACTACTACTACGATTACTGCTACTACTACTACTATTGTTACTACTACAATATTACTACTACTATTATTACTACTACTACTACTACTATTACCTACTAATACTACTACTACTACTACTACTACTACTACTACGACTACTACTAGTATTGTTACTACTACAACATTACTACTAGTACTACTAATTTGACGACTACTGCTACTACACTACTACTGCTGCTGCTGCTTCCGCGAATCATACCCCCGAATCATACCCCGAATCATATCCGCGAATCATACCTATGTACGTTAATCTATGTATATATGCTCAGCTCCCCTTCCCGATGTTCTACATATCATTCCTGGTTGCGTTTGTCTCATCCACAAACCAAAAGTGCATGTTTCTTCAAAGATGCCCCACTTGCAGGTCATTGCATATCATTCCTGGTGGTGCTCCATTTGCAGTTTGAATGAGCAGAACTTCTAAAGCGGTTCCATCGTCGTGAGGTTCTACTCAAAATCTAACTACTTTTAAACGAACATTGAACATTTCGTTTAACGCCTTTCCCGGCTAAATTCTACTAACCCGCTAACATGTCAGCCATTTTTGGAAAGGAATTCCTCTTCAGTTTCTGATTGTGGGTAGAAATGTTGTTTGACTTTTATTGATAAGATTTTCAAGTGAACTTTATCAAGGAGCTTCGTACGAGGCCTTGTACGGAACTTTACAAGCAGCTTTAGAAGGATTCGCGCAAGGACACGGAGCCTCTAAAATGAGCTTTGTAAGGATCTTCACAACTAGCCGTAGAAGGAGCCTTATAAGGAGGCTTATGAGGCTTGAGTCAAGAATTGAACGCCAGCCTGTCAAATTCTGCTTCAAAGCCGAAATTCTTCTTTTTTAGATTCTAAAATGTGTTTCAAAGTCGTATTTGGAAAGGAATTCCCCTTTTCAATCCAATCTAGACTCCAGACTGATGTCGCCGCCCTAAGCCTTGTGTTTTTTGGTTTTCTCGAGTTGTTTATTTGTTATTTGGGTTTTCCATGTGCATTTTGATGGCTTACTCATTCACGTCTTCATTAAAGCTTCTGCGTGCATTAGGAAGCGTCAAATCGAGCTGACCCACGGCTTAGTATTTGCACATGTCCAGAAACGTGAACACCGACGTTCCTGAGTAGAACGCCAGAAAACACTGCAAACCGCATGTTTGTTTGGCGTGCTGAACTCAACGTGGAATGCCCGAGAGACCAGACTCAGGTCAGACACGCACGCACTTCATGGTTCTGCGTCTCAAACATCAGTCTACAGCTTATAAAATGACAGATTCCAGGAGGTTGGCATTAAACATGTTTTGCTGTCAATACACAAGAAACATGTGAAAGGAAAGAGCATCAAAACGCAAAATGTAGATCATGGCGGGGCTTCCAAGATAAATAAGTATATATGCTACGCTCCCCCCTTTGCTGAATTTCAGCGCCAGGCTGTAGAGTTTAGATTTTTTGCAATAGATTTTAAGCAGAGACAAATGGGCTTGTGGTCCATCATGGCAAGATCCGAAATGTCCCAATATGATATTCTTTATATGATACCCTTTCCAAATAGGATGTTACTTCAACTAGAATTGGAAAATTGAATATAATTTGGTTAGGATATAGTTTTCAATAATGTGTTTATGCTCAACATTGCTCAACTACTACATGAGAATTTAAGTATAGTTTCGGGCAAACTCCAACTAATCTTCCACAGATGAGTTAGGAGTTTATTCCCAAATACACTCTACGTGTTAATACGAACACAACTCAATTAGCTTTTCGTAACAACAACTGAATAGAGACTACTTCTCAAACTTAGTTCTTTTTAAATATGGCTAAACATTTAGGGGACTTCCAAAAGGAAACTTCAAGGGAAGAGAGGTTCAAATTCTAAAGCTATTTCTCGACAGGGATTCTACCTGAATCAGTTGCACTTAAAGTTCTATTTGCACAGGGAAGCAACATTCATTCTATTTCAAAAGGCGGAGGTAGTAGATGAGCAAATGTGGAGAGGTAGTTCAAGAGGGGACACATACATATGTATATACCTAGACCATCCAGGCGTTCATGTTTTCTGCCGGGGGAACGTCGCCTTTGGGTCGGGCAATGTTGCCTTTTCGTCTTCATCCTTGTTACGCAAAACAACAAAACCCGCCAAAATGCACTGAGGCAAAAAGAAGGTGTCGTTTGCAGCAAAAGGAGCCTTTGGACCAAACAGCACAACAATGCACACTTAGGAGGGCCCAGGTGTATATATACATACACACGTATATAGTACCCCTAATGATCCGCTCCTCTTCACAAAAGTGCTGTAAAACACAGCATTACACCTACCTTTGTTTACCTCCCGGAAAAGGGTCAACAAACATGCTTCATAGCTAACATGAAGCAAACCGCTCACCAAAAGCACTTGAAAGTTTGTGTACTAAATAATGCATTGAAAGTGTTTCCACTGGATCGCTAAGCACTTGAGGGTTTTTTACCACTGGAAATTCAACACGGAAGATTACACAGAACACTTTCCTGAGAATTGTCAATCCTGGCCAAACCCAAACAACATTCAAGCTCTTCTCACACTTGAAAGTGTTTTACCACTGAGTTGAGGATTCAATATCGAGGATTGCACAAACAACAACTTTCCTGAGAATCATCCATCCTGGCCAAACCCTATAATGATCAAGTTGTTTTAAAACTTCGAACGTATTTTACCACTGGATTGAAGGTTCAAAATTGAAATATGTCACGGAAAGATTTCTCCGAGAATCTTCTTGAACAACGAGAGTATTGGGACAAACCTTGATATTTTAAAAAAAATCTGGGATTCAAGATTCAAGATTCAAGGCTCCCAGAAGAAGATTATTTTGAAACCTTGAATATTCCGGAATCCCAGAAAAGATTGTTGAAATATTGAATCTTGAGTTCCAGATTGTCACTTGAATGTCTCCCAGCAATCTTGGGTCCAGAATTCTTAGTTGTAGAACTGTGACCCCCCCTTCCTTGGTGCAAAAAATGCAAAATTACCTGACAAATGCTGAAATCAAGCAAAACCTAGGAATCAGGGGGGGGGGGGCGTACCATATATATATATATAGAGGGCGGGTCGGCATGGGGGCTGAGTTTTTCAGATTCCTGGGGGCTGAGTTTTTCAGATTCTTGGGTGCTGAGTTTTCCATTGAAAACACCAAAAAAACAAAAATATAAGATCAAGGCCCGTGACCTCTTAGATTTATTGGGGTGCGTTTTGTTGTTTTGTTTTTTTGGCTGATGACATGCAAGCACAGATTCATTTTCAATCCAATGAAGACTCAGATGCGTCCAGACCTGGAAAATGAGCTAGCTTCAAGCTACACAGAAGACAGCCCGTTGAGAACTATTTTGCACAAATATCATTGTTGGACACACATATTTAGCAAACGTGTGTCTGTAGCTTATTTTTGGATAATTGGCATGCTTACGCATGCCAAGTTTATAAACCTCAGGGTGCTAACTTTTGGAAGACGTATGTTTGGCACAAACCTTCAACACAATTTGCATACGTATGCAATATTTTGGAAGACGTATGCTTAGCAACCTGCAAGCAGATGTGTGTTTGGGACAAATATTGTTGTTGTGTTGCAATTCTGAAACACGTAAGTATGGCAAGCACAGCTTGCCATGCATATGAAATCATAAGAAGCGTAAGACATTGCTGATCTATGCAGCTTTCAGCTGCAAGACTCAGCTCTTTTTTCAGTTGGATGTTCAATACTTCAATAGAGAAAAGACAACTAACACACATATTTGTCGCATAATGATCTGGAGCAATTGCAGCACAGCTCCAATCTAGTTGCTTGAGCTCAAGCAGCACAAGATGCAAAGATGAGCACCTGCAACGGTATCTGCAGATGCAAGTAACATTCTCTGCATAAAGCTGTTCAGCTTTGGAACAAGAGCTTTGGAATAAGATTCTCTGCATCTATTCGTGTTGCTGAAGAGCTCTTGCAACAATAAAGCTGTTCAGAATAGATTCAAGTAGACACAAGCCACAAGCAATTGCTTATGATGAGATGTTACCTGCAGAAGATTAAATGAGAGATGAGATAAATTATCTCCAGTTACCGGGAGTTACCTACAGAATATCTTGGAAGAGGCTTATGTTCTGTTGATACACATCTCATCATATGATTGATGTCTTGCATCAAGAAAGCTTGCATCAAGAAAGCATCAACAAGGTATTGTCTTCAGATGGTGGGCTGTGTTGTTTTGTTTTTTGGTTTTCTTTGTGTTTATGAGCAAAGGCACAAAAAAGCAAAAACAAAACAAAAAACCAAAAAAAACAGACCCATGGCCTTGAACTAGCAGATGCAGATGATGGGCTGTGTTTCGTGTTGTTTTTTGCTGAAAAAACTCAGCTTTCAGGAACCTGAAAAACTCAGCCCCCAGGAATCTGAAAAAACTCAGCCCCCATGACGACCACTTCTGTATATATATATATCTATCTACGTGTGCACGGTATACGTGCAGGTTGTCACCTGACAACAACCCTAGGGGTTGTGGTTTGGGGTCAGCAGGGCCCGTCTTAGCGCATTGGACGTTTTGCATGGCTATTTTAAGGGTGTTTCCGATCTGCGAGCAGCGTCTTTAACTTGAGGGGTGTTGCTGCACACACAACCTAGCTACGCACTTGTTGTTTCCAAAGGTCATGACGGCCATTTTATGGTCGCTTCATTTTTCATGCTTCGTTTAGTTTGGTTGCTCTGCTTGCTCACATCCCTCCTGGGTCTCATGCTGCTTGAATGGTAGACCCGGAGGCATCTGACATGAATGCGTGGCTTGCGTGAGTGTTTGTGCCAGTTGGTCGATTGATGTCTTCATAGATTCGGGGGCAGACGCAAATTGGGGCCCTTTTGAAACCTGCTGGGCCGCCTCTACAAAAGACAGTTGTTCGAAGCCTACTGGCTTCAAGGCCATGGGTTTTGCGCGGATCCGAGGTCCAAGGAGGGTGGCGAAGGAGAGCGCAGTCCGGGGTGGCGGGCGGTGGGCCAGCAGAGCCATGAACTTTTGGCCGGCAGGCCGTTCCTTGGAAACATGGGCCACACCGGCGCTGCCTACATTCTGTTGGCATTTGTCTTGGCGTTTTTGGTGTTGTTGGTGTTGCTGTTGTTGGGTTCTCGGATTTTCCTTTTGGGGCCCAACCTTTGCATTGTTCGCCTTGTGTGTCTTTGTTCTGAGGGCTACTTTCGGGCCCCTTTCACACTATCACGAGGAGGCTTTTAATTTTGAGAGAGACCCGAAAACGTGTAGGCAGCTTGCTTTTGGTTTTGCCGACGCCATCCCAAACGAAGTCCCCTTTTGAGCACTCCCATGTGCTATTTTTGAGACCGAAATCCTTGGCTTTCAAGGGAACAGTGTCACAAGTGCTACGAAGTTTGCCGAAGATCCTTGAGAAAGGGATTGGCAGAGGAAACCCTATTGCACCCAGCAGTAGATCAGCCCCTGTGTCAACCCGCAGGTTTTTTGAGCCCCGGTTCACGCCGTCCAAGCTTGCAGCTTCTGAATTTTGAAAAAAAGTTCAGCGACATGTAGCAATGTTCAGCTGGGCTCTGATAACTTTAAGTACTAAGTCTCTTGGATTCTGTTTTGCCTTGAGGCGTTGTTGCAGCTTCGACGATCCACTTTTGAAAGGTTATTTACGTCCCTCGTGGGCCTGTGCGGCCCAATCAGAACTCCTTCGAAACAGGTTGTCAGAGCCTTCCTGGTGACAGGGGCTTCGTGTTCTCCCTATTCAGGGATTGTTCTTATGTTATGTTGAGTGAATACCCCTTTTCAGGAATGGGGTAGAAACAGCAGCACGACGTTGGGACCATTTACCCAGGGGTTGAAAGGCAAGGCCAAGGCCCATGAGAGATTTCCTCTACCCCCAAAAATACTTCTTAGCTCCCAGCAGAAACCGCATTACATAGCGGCTGCAAAGGCTGGCGCCGCCCCACCTCCTTGTCAATTCCTACATGTCCAATTTCGTTTGAGACGCCAATGTCCTGAGCGTTGGGTTTTTGCGCAAAAAGCTGTTTTCTATTGGCGCAGCAGGTTTTTTTGGGACATTGACCTTTCTGAGCTCTTCATTTCTTTGCGATTGTTCCTTTTGTGTTTGCAGTGGTGTCTATGCCCTGTCACTGAATCTAGCACCTGCATCTGGCATCTGCGTCTGACACTGCCCGATTGTCTCGCAGCCTTCTTGTCTCTGCCTTCCACTGCTGCCGCCCGAGAACACCTGCACACAGGCATGGCCTTGGAAGCCGAGACCATGACCTACGATGACCTCAAAGAGGTGGTAGAGGGGCTCACCTGCAGGCACATCGATGCGGTCTGCGCTCCGGAGCAGCCACGCGGCATCTTCAACATCTCCACCTTCCCGATGTGCGACCTCAACCTCGCCGAGAATCCCGTGGCGCGCTGCTTCGACATGATTATGGGCTTCGAGGATGAAGTGAACATGATGGAGTTGGGTCGCCAATGCAAAATGGCTTGCTGGCGCGGAAAGAGTTCAAGTGGCCGCTCCCCCTCACTCCACGGTGCTACAACGCGTGGGTGCTCAAGGTGCTCGAAGAGATTTGGGACTTCGACCACTCCTCCTTGATCATGCTTGGCGAGGTGGGCATGGGCAAGAGCCCACTCGAGCGTAGCATTCTCATGGCCAAGTGCCGTCGCAACAAGGGTCACTTCCAAGTCGAGGCTGAGCCATGCATTCGGTGCACCCCGGAAATTGATTTCCTGAGGGGGGAACAGGGCTTGGTCGTCATGGTGACTTTCTCGATGACACCAATTTGAATGCCCTCAGCATGAAGACCGTGAAGGCATTCTTGGATGTGGGGCTCTACGAGTCTATGTGCTGGGCTCGATGGGGAGCAACAAAGTGGGTTCAAAACGAACCCCGCGCAGTGGCGGACAACATGTACGATTCCGACGTGCAGCTACCCCCGGCCTTTGTTGGCGAGGTGAACTTTGAAAAGTTCTTCTTGCTGGTGCGGCCTGCCTTTGCAGAGAACATCTCCAGGACGCACATGGATGCAGTGTTCAAGCGGGCAAGTTTCCTGGTCAACACGAAGGAGCACGTGTACCTCCGTCTGGCCGGCATCAACGAAAACTCGGTGAAGCGAATTTCTTTGTTTGCCAACGATGAGTACCTCACCGAGGACGGCAAGAAGGCCTACGGCATGTTCAAGGCTGGGGACAAGGACGGCTTCCCTGAGTTTGAGCAGGACGTGCGCAAGGAGCAGGAGCGGGTCAAGGCGGTCATGGAGAAGCGCTACAGCCAGCGACGGGAGAACAAGGAGGAGGTTCAGAAAAAGGCCAAAATTCGCTTTGCTTTGTTTGGCGAGGCGCCCCAGCAGGAAGAGTCCATCACAGAGAAGATAGATAAGAAGGAGAAGCAGCTCATCCAGGTCAAGCGAGAGCGTGAGGAGGAGGCAAAGGAGGCTGTGCTCAAGAAGGCTCGGGCCTGGAGCTGTGAGCTTGCTGGTGCAAGAGCGTGCCTCGACTTGGACGTCGAGAGCGAGCTCGAGGAGGAAGTCGAGCAGGCCCAGGCGATGGCAGAGGAGCAGGAAGAGGAGAACATTTTCCAATTCGGAGGTGGCTTGAGTGAGTAGGTGCAGCAGCCTGGCTGAGAAACATCTAGGGGATTGCACTGTAGGATTGCCAACAGTGCAGTGAGATGTGCCGCAGGGCCTCGATGGAAAAACTCGCTCAGCGTGCTTCGTTGCAATCATGCAGCTTTGCTGAGGCGTGATTGACGACCTGCGGCAAGTATCAATGGCGATAAAGGCAAGAAGATCTTCAACCCACCAATCGACAAGTGTGCAGTCTGCAAGAGCAAGATCATAGTGAGGACTGAAAAGCCAGTTCCTTGCGTCATTACCTCTAGTGAGACCTTGGATGACGTGTTCACCTTCCGCGCTGAGTGTACTTCGATGTCATGTCGTGCTACTCACAGGGCAAACCGTGTCTACGCTGATGGGGTCAAGGTGAACACCTTAAGCTCCAAGCAGATGCAGGACATGGGAATCTACCTCGACCAACGGCTTTGGCTTCGCGACCAAGTACTTGGAGATGTCCATGCTCCGTCTTCTGCGTGGCAATCTTGCCCCTGGGCAGGAGGCAAGCGTTCGGCCGTTGATGTCTGGAGATGATCCTCGGTCCATCAGCTGCAGGAACCGCGCTGCGGGCTGGCAGTTCGTCATCGACCCGGACTCTCGAAGGGTATTGGCAGCCAAGGAACACAGTCAACGAGTGTTGCCAGGACAAGGCAGAGGTGGTCGAGGCAACTTTGTCACTCAAGAAGGTGAACGTGGATGCCCTCGCCACTTTGAGCAGTATGTGGCCAGGCGGAAGACCCTGGCCAAGTCCTTCAGGAAGATCAAGTATTACGTGGTGGATGAGTTCCACAGGGGCAACCGCAAATGCAGCAAGAAGAACCTGGCCCCCCGAGAAAAGAAGAGGTGCAAGAAGGTGAGGACCAACGTGAGTGAAGTGTTCAACTCCTGGATCAGGCGCAAGAACTTCATCTTCAATGGAATGAACGCGCGCAGCCACCGCTTCTGGGTGCAAGAAGCCATCTGCTTCTGGAACAAGAACTTGAAAGACATGCCCAAGTGCAACACGAGGCGCACCACATCTACTACCCACAAGCACCCACTTCCTCGAGAGCGGGGTGAGGCAGTGTTAGGTTCCTAAGGCATTGGCAGACACACTGTCCGCAGTGTGCTCTCAGTCTGTTTCCATGACCTGCATCTCTGCGCATGGGTCCAAAATCCGAGCGCCCTGTAAAGCATCTATGGCAAGGCATCAAAAACCTCGAGGAAACCCCAAAAAACAAAACAAAAAGCCCAAACATTCAGACAAATACTTCCGGCAAGTCTGTCATACCAAACATTTCCCTCACATGTTTTTTGTTTGTTTGTTGGGTTTCCTCGAGGTTTTTTCGGTTTGAGATCTCTTGAGCTTTGGGGTGTCACCAAGTCTGCCATACCTCATATCTTTGGTTTTTTTGGTTGTTTTGTTTTTTCGGTTTCCTTGAGGTTTTTTAGGTTTTTCTATCCAAAAAAACCCAACGCTCAGGACATTGGATTCTGTTTCATTTCCCCTTGTGTGGTTGGAACACTAGGTGAATGGAAGCCTTGAGAATCAGGTCAAAAGGCAAACCTTGTCTTGAAATGGCTGCATTTCCTAAGGGATTGTCTTTTTGTGTTCAGCCGACCCCAGGCTTTACCCCACCCCTTCTTTGTTGCAAGCGTTGCAAGGTACCTCCTTTACGACTTTCTGGACATGCAGCTCCACCTTTCCCCGGAGGCCTTTTTAAGGCCGAACATCTTCCTCGCAGAGGAAGTGGCGAAGAGTGCCCTGGAAATGCGCCCTTGATTGAGTCACCTGAACCTGCTTGCGTTCCTTCATCTCCTTCCTTTCCTTTTGAGCCACAAGCCAAATAGAGGTGGAAATTACAAGGCTACACCCAGTTGATGGTCCTTGTTGTCGGATGATTGATGAGGCAGCTTGATCGCTTGCTTGCCTGCCTGCCTCCCTGGCATGCGTGGGTGTCGGTGCGCGTGTTTTTTGTGTGTGTGTGTGTTGCTTGGTTGGTTGGTTGGTTGGTTGGTTGGTTGGTTGGTTGGTTGGTTGGTTGGTTGGTTGGTTGGTTGGTTGGTTGGTTGGTTGGTTGGTTGGTTGGTTGGTTGGTTGGTTGGTTGTATGCATGCATGCATGCATGCATGTATGTATGCATGTTACGAAATGCAATACTAATCAATGTAGTGCACTGTAATATATGTGTGTAATATGTATTGTATATAATATAGGTTTGTATGTATATGCGTGTGTAATGTAATGTAGTGTAGTGTAGCGTGACGCAATGCAACACAATGTAGTGCATGTAGTGTATGTATGTAACGTAATGTAATGTAATGCAATGTAATGTAATGTAATGTATGTATGTATGTAATGTATGTAATGTATGTGTGTATGTATGTATGTAATGTACTGTAATGTGATGTAATGTAATGTAATGTAATGTAATGTAGGTATGTATGTATGTATGTATGTGATGTATGTATGTATGTATGTAATGTATGTATATATGTATGTTTGTTTGTACGAATGTACGTATGTATGTGTGTATGTATGTTATGTATGTATGTATGTATGTGTGTGTGTGTATGTATGTAATGTATGTAATGTATGTTTTAATGTATGTTTGTTTGTACGTATGTACGTATGTATGTGTGTATGTGTGTATGTGTGTATGTGTGTATGTGTGTATGTGTGTTTGTAATGTATCTATGTATGTAAGTAAGAAAGTAAGTAATGTAATGTATGTAATGTACTGTATGTATGTATGCACGCATGTATGTATGTATGTATGTGATGTATGTATGTAATGTATGAAGTGGAGGTAATGTATGTAATGTATGTAATGTATGTATGTATGCATGTTTAAATAATTGTATATATGGAATGTATGCATGTAGTCATGTATCTATGTATGTATGTACGTAATGTCATGCAATGCGCTTCAATGCAATGTATGTATGTATGCATGTAAGTATATAGGTAGTGTATGTATGTATGTATGTATGTATTATGTATGCATGTATGTTTGCATGTGTGTGTATTGCTGTAATGTATGCATCTATGTATGTATTGTATGTACGTATGTAATGTAATGTAATGTAAGATAATGTAACGCAATGTAATGTAGTCTATGTATGTATGTATGCATGTATGTGCGAATGTATGTAATGTACGTATCCATGCGTGTAACGTATGTATGTACGTAATGTAATGTAATGTAATGCATCACCATGTAATGTACTGTACTGACTGTACTGTGCTTAATGTATGTATGTATGTAATGTAACGTAACGCAACGTATCGCAACGTAATGTAATGTAATGTAGTGTAATGTGATGCAACGCAATGTAATGTATGTAATGTAATGTAGTGATATGTTTTACTGTGCTGTACTGTATGTATGTATGTATGTATGTATGTAGTGCAGTGTAGTGTACTGTAATGTAATGTAATGTAGTTTAATCCCAGGGCTTCGCCATCACCAGCTGCGCCACCCACCCTAGCGCACGCGTCCGTGTCTTCGTGTGTACGCGCGTGCGTGCTCACTTGCGGCGCGCGCGCAAGACGCACACGAGGCGCACACCCACAGCCAATCAGACTAAGACTACGTTCCCGGCATACACTCTAAGCCCCGTAGAAACCCTGGAGAAGATGACAAAAAGACACGGTGTTTGCGATGTTTGTCGCGTAGTGGCCCCGGCCCCGCAATTCGCAGAAGGCCCCGCTCACTTGATCGCAAACATGCCCACTATGCCTGCCCACCGCCAAATATTGACAGTGTTTTTTCAATGTTGGGCAACGTGGCGCGGGGAGCCTGTCACAAGGCCAGGGAGGCCGGGGATGTTTTGGCGTCCAAGTGTTTGGCGGCCTGCGCGTGATGCAGGGGAGAGGAGGGGCTTGGGGTGCAGCAAAGCGCGTCAGCGGTATACGGGTTGCCCTCGCCCTTCGAGCTCAAAGACACAGCGCCGCTGGGTGTAATGTAAGGGTTTGCATGTAATGTTACGCATGCGCTGTTATGTATGTGTGTATGTATGTAATGTATGTATGTATGTAATGTATGTATGTAATGTATGTATGTATGTAATGTATGTAATGTATGTATGTATGTATGTATGTAATGTATGTATGTATTGTATGTATGTACGTATGTAAGGTAAGGTAAGGTAATGTAATGTATGTATGTATGTAATGTATGTATGTATGCGTGCATGTATGTATGTATTGTATTGTATTGTATGTACTGTATGCAGCGTATGTATTGTATGTAGTGTATGTATTGTATGTATGTACCTGTGTATGTAATGTGTGCATGTATGTACGTATGTACGTTTGTATGTATGTATGTATGTAATGTATGTATGTATGTATGTATGCGTGTGTGTATGTATTGTATTGTATTGTATTGTATTGTATTTTATGTATTGTATGTATTGTATGTATGTACCTATGTATGTAATGTGTGCATGTATGTATGTATGTACTGTATGTATGTATGTACGTATGCATGTATGTATGTATGTATTGTATTTTATTGTATTGTACTGTACTTTATGTATTGTATGTATTGTATGTAATGTGTGTGTGTATGTATGTATGTATGTACGTATGTATGTATGTAATGTATGTATGTATGTATGCATGTATGTATGTATTGTACTGTATTGTATTGTATTGTATTGTTATTTTTGTATTGTATGTATTGTATGTATTGTATGTATTGTATGTATGTACCTATGTATGTAATGTGTGCATGTATGTATGTAATGTATGTATGTTTGCATGTATGTATGTATTGTATTGTATTGTATTGTATTTTATGTGTTGTATGTATTGTATGTATTGTATGTATGTACCTATGTATGTAATGTGTGCATGTACGTATGTATGTATGTAATGTATGTATGTGTGTATGTATGCATGTATGCATGTATTGTATTGTGTTGTATTTTATGTATTGTATGTATTGTATCTATTGTATGTACTGTATGTATGTACCTATGTATGTAATGTGTGCATGTATGTATGTGTGTATGTATGTATGTATGCATGTATGTATGTATGTATCTATGTATGTAATGTATGTATGTATGTATGCATGCATGTATGTATGTATTGTATTGTGTTGTATTTTATGTAGTGTGTGTACGTACCTATGTATGTAATGTGTGCATGTATGTATGTATGTATGTATGCATGCATGTATGTAGTGCAATACCACGCAGCATTGCATTGTTATGGCGTGCGTGCGGGTGAGCGGGTTGGTTCGCGCGCGCAAGCGTGTGTGTTTCTGCCTCCACCCCCTTGGCCTCCCTTGCCTCTCTGAGGAGTGGCGCGTGCGAGGGCGACATGGTGTGGGATGCCTTCTCCGGGCAAGGCTTCTTGACCCACTCGCGCACTTGGCAGATCTGGAGTCAGAAAATGCTTGGAAATCGCTTGAACCACAGAGGTTCGTGTGCTGGAACACATGTTTGTTCTTTGTTTTGCTTCTGGCTTACGACTCAGCAGGGGAATCTTGAAATCCAGGACCTCAGGAATCTGCGGTAAAGGTCGGCTGGTTTACGATGGGCACGGAGCATCGCTCGCGAACGTGGTGCCTTGCTAAACAAGACCTGAGCCAATGGAAGCGCAACTCACCCACTATGATTCCTGGGGGATTGCTTGTTTTCGGTTGGTGAACTGAGTAAATCTCCGCCCAAGATTTTGGCTTGAGCAGATTCAAACCCGGTGCGTCTGAGCAGCAACTCTTGAATACGACATGCGCTCTGTGGGTGGTGAGGGGTCTCCTGCGGATTTTGACATAAAGTGACAACGTGCTGCGATTCCCCTTTTGCTGCTCATTTTGCGGGACTGCTGCCTTTTCATAGCTCTCCAAGCCAGATGCCATCCAACTTACGTGGCGTTGTTGCCTTTGCTTTTGCCTCACTGTAGGGGGAACCCACCCTTTGGTAAAGCCACCCTCTCTGTCACGAGTTTTCCACCGGGGGCCAGATTTCCTTACTGAGGCGTTGCAAAATGCGATTGTTCCCTGTCGATTGGCGGCTTTTGAAGAGAGTCGCCTTCCTTTGAACACCCCCACTAAGGGTTTGGCATTTCAACTCATTCTTTCACAGTTTACCCATCGTGTTTTTTTTAATACCTCATTGGCCCCTTGTACTTGTTGCCATTTGCTGATAGCAAGGGTCCACATCGTTTTGGGGTGCATGTAGAAGCTTGTGCATACACTGAAGGATTAATTTTGTCCAAGGAACCTTCCAAGCAAGCCAAGGAGCCCCGGCTCAAACGGTTTTTTCTTCTTGTCAAACCGAGAGGGAAGACGCTTGTTCTAAAAAAGCACCCCGCTTGGGGCCTCAGAGACTCAGGCTTGCTATCCCTGCCGCTGCTGCGGTTGGGCTGCCGCGTGTTGGCCCTGGACCGGTCCTTGCCGGCTTTGCAGGCAGTGCTGCGCCATGCCCAGCTTGCGGCGCCCGGCCAGGCCCAAGAGCCGGTCCGACAGACGGTCCGAATAAACCAAGAGCAAAGTTTTGTTAAGGAAATAACAAATTCTAAGAACCTCTGAAAACGGTTCCTATCAAAATCTTAAATAGTGGGGTGAGGGAAAACAAAGGTTGTTTTGAAGGTATGCCTTACAGAACCCCCCTCCTCAAAACATCCCTGTTCTTGATTCTCGGGTGTTGTTTTTTGGGGAGCGCTTGGGGGACAGGAAATAGGCTTGTCTTGGCTTTGTCTCGAAATGGCTAGCATGGTTGCCATTTTGGTTTCCCTTCACCCGCCAATTGTCCGCTAAACGTTGGACCTGTTCGGCGCTCATGTGTTTGGCCGCGGCCGACCTGCCAACTGGCCAACTGGCCACAATTCGCTGGCAAAGCCATGAAGTTGCCCCATCGAACGCGGCAGGAATCAAGAACGGGTTCGGAGCATGGCAAGTTCCTCAGATTGTTTTTAGGCCGAAAGGCGGCAACTGTCAACTGCTGCTACTGCAAACAACCCCACGCAATTCGGTAGTGTGGAAATCAAAAGAGCAAACAGGAGCTCCGCTACCTTGATGTGTCGTAACATTCCGCGTGGTGCAACACAGATTGGTCATGCTGCGACACTCAACACGCAGCACGCGTGGCACAACTTGGTCTAACAGTACATGGCTGAGCTGGCAGGGGCTAAACAAACCTAAGCAGGCTAAGAATTGCAACGAGGGTTCCATGCTGATAATCCTTGCCCAAGTAGTTTTTGCTGCCAAGTGTTGCGTTTCTCAACGAGTTTTTGCTGCCAAGTGTTCTGCGAAAGATTCCTATTACGTATTTTCTGGGTGGTCTAAGAACCTCGCCAGTTCGGACAGTCAATTCGGGTTCCTCTGGGTGAGCTGATGTGGTAAGGGGGAATGTAGGGAGCCCCGTTCAATGAGTACAAGCGTGACCTTCTTGGAGAAGTGTTCAAGGCCCCGCACAGGATGTCATGAGGGAAATCCTCAGGGTTCAAGCAGTGCGTGGTTTGTCTTTTTCAGGGCTTTTGAGATTGTCCCCCCTGTTTCGGGTGCGAATTCCTGTAAGACACTGGGAAAAGACCCGCTGCCGACAGGATGCAAGAATATTTTGCGGGGACCTCGGGGTGCCTGCCTTCCTTCAACGCCCCTTGGTCGCGAGAATGCGAGACCGACCTTCCTTTTGCTGAGGTTGTTGGTTCCTGTTGAGGTCAATTCGGACGTGGTTGTGATTGCTGAGTTTTTGCATATATATATATATGCTCACCCCCCCCCATGATCCACATTTTCCATGCCCCACACCTGCTATGTAGGCCCAACCTTCTGCTTCACAAACTGCAAGCTCCAAAGAACAACTTCATCCATCTGCTTCCTGGTAGAATCTGCAAAACATCTGAGTGCTAAGCAGTTAAACATACTTCTTGATATGCAAACTGGTATCTTCTTAAAATCAAACATGTAAGCCAACTTAGCATGAATAACTGTCATGGTTTGGTCTGAATGCTTAATTGCAGCTTTTGGCCCAGCACATTTGTTCACTTTGTTTTAAGGCAAACTTAGGCATGTCAGGTCCTTTTATTAGGACTTTGCCCAAGGAAGTAGCTGTGGCCATTGAACAATGGAGCCACGAGCCTGGGCCGAGCTCACCTTCGAGGCCAACCTCATGGCCAAATAAGGTTGGTCATTTACCGGATGGCTCCTTGGCCCGTTTTTGTAAGCTTTTCCTTGGACAAGGTCTGCTTCTTGAAGCATTTTCCTTGGACAAGGTCTGCTTCTTGAAGCATTTTCCTTGGACAAGGTCTGCTTCTTGAAGCAGATGTTTGCTGACATTTCTTTGCTGTTTTTTCTCTTTCACTTCTCTGAGGCGCAGAGGTGTTCAACTTGGACCGTGTTCTTTTCACCGTGGGTGCCAACGGCGAGAGGGAGCTGACGGCGAACGAAGCGCAGCACCTCACCACTTGAGAGCCGGGGACCCTTTGTGCAGACTTTTCTCCTCTTGGGCAATTTTCTTACACTTGCTCAAGAAAAAACACGCATGCTGCCCGCACGCCTTGTTGTTTGCCCTCCTTTGGAAGAAGGTACCAGTTTGCAAACTACAGACAAGAGGTGCTTTTTTCTTGCCTGTGCCATTAAGGTCCCTTGCCCAACAAAGTATGCCTTTGCAGCAATTCGAGATCACAATCGCCCGCTCATATCCTCATTTGTCCCTTTGCTTTTCAACATGGCATCCAAAGCACCTCAGCGGCCTCGTTCCATCGCCCAGTCCATGAATGAAGAGCTCCTGGACGGCCGTTGCACATTCGATGAGGCACTGGCGAACACGGAAGGGATGAAGCTTTTGCAGCTGGAGAAGCCCATCATTGCCCATAAGGAGGTCGGCAACATCAAGCAGGCGGACCTCCCGGCCAAAATGGAGATCACGGACTCAGTTAGGAAAAAGGTCCAGTTCCTTGACATCATCCATGACTTCGAGGATGACTTGGACCTAAAGGTGATCGAGCAACTCTTTCTCCAGCAGAGGTATGCCGAACTCCCACCGCCTATTTGCGTCAAGGGTGACAACCAAGTCCCTTTCAACATCATCATGCACATCAAGTTTGTGGACGGAACCAAAATCCCGCACAACACGATCATCCGGATGTGCCAGGGCACACCGCTGGAGATTGACTACCAGCAAAAATTTAGAGAGGGAGGACGAGCGTTCCAGTACATGTTGGAAGGTTTGGGTGGCTTCCAGGTCCGGTATGTCAAGCTCATCCCAGCCGGCAGTGGGAACAAAGTGCCAAAGGAGACTGAGGACCATCAGGAAAGGATTTGAATTCATCCGGGCGAACGGGCCAGAGGAGAACTCCAAAGGCCAGTTCACTTGCTGGACGGAGGAGCAAGTCAACGATCCCAATGGGCCTTTGCGCAAGTGGGACAAAGGAACCATCAAGGATACTTGCGGTGCCTAGCCGACCAGAGCTCTCAAGCCAATACAATCACAGACTGGCCGTTGACCTTGAAAAGCTTGACACCATGGGCATTGAACATCGTCATCAACCGGATCTTGCCCTACGTCCACTCCAACGCCATCGTCTGGATTGGGAAGTCGCAAGTTGGCAAGAGCCCGGCTTCGCACACGCTGTCCTCTGTGGTTTCTGCCTACTGGCTTATCCAGGAGGACAAGCAGGATGAGCCAATGACAATCCAAGACTACAGCGCATCAAAGGCTTCAACAGGACTCTGGGGAACAGAAATGGCCTGTTCTTCCTACAAGCAGAAATCACAACATTGCCAAAAGGAACAAAGCTACAGATACACAACACAGAACAAGGACAGATTGGCATGAAAGCACCGACCACAACGCTCACACCACAAGGTCCTGCAGACACAGGACACGCAGGAGACTACTGGCAGTTCAACAAAGGAGAACTTGTCAGAGTACACAGGCAATACAGGAAGACCCTTCCCACACCATCAAGAACACAGTGTCCAGTTCCAGCAGAGCAACTAGAGGATTACAGGACAACAACAATCAGGTCCAAGGACGGCGCAACAAATACATTTGAGGACAAGTATCAAACAACAGAAGATCCAAACAAAGCGCAACCACAGATGTGGAAAGGCGAGACAGCCTTCAGGGTCAAGAAAGGCACAAAGTTGCCAGAAACGCTACAGCAACAGTTTACAACAAAGACACAGCAAAGGAGCGAGCCACAGAGGATCGCATCACAGGTGATTCACTACAACCCACGAACGCGGTTGAGAGAGAAAACAACACCACCAACACTACAGGAGTCAGCAGCGCCACACACCACCAAAGGCGCAGCTGGACAAGGAATTCCACATCCTTCAGAAGTACATCCTGGAGGAGATTACTGGTACAGAGAGAAGGCCCATACTGGAAGAGAGTACATGTTGAGCCTAGAACAGCGTTTTACATACCAGAGCAGACACACGACGGGCCAGACATCAAACGACTCATACCTTGGAGACAGACCAAGGTACAACCAGTTGGAGGAGAAGGATGAATGGACAACACGGCCAGCAAAGACATCAGCCAAGCCTTGGACAGGCTGGACAAACTTTGAGGAACATCAGGAGTTCCCAACACAACTTGAGTCAGATGATGAGGAACAACAACAAGGCACAAAAGCAAAAGCAGCGCAAGCACCCAAGCAACCAACACCACACGAGATACTCGAGCACAACGTGACACATCTCCGTTACAGGAGTTGGTGTCCAATATGCGCACAAGCAAGAGGCAGACAGAACAATCATCCAAAGCAACATAGCAAGCTTCCAATCATACAGCTTGACATTGGCTACATCAAAGGCAAAGGCTTTGATGATAGCAATGTACACCCAATTCTCACAGCAGTTGATTTCCAGTCAGGGATGTTCATGGCGCTACAACTGACAGACAAGAGAATGCTCTTCGACTATGCATCCTCATTGAGTGTGGAAGGACAACACACACGATACTACAATCAGATCAGGAAGACTTCCTGACAGCGCTCACGACAGCAGCGGCCAACAAGGGACTCAGGAGCATACAGTTCACAATCACAAGGAGGAGTAGAGCGAGCGCACAGAACATTATTTGCGCAAATCAGAACACTCAAGGCACAGATCAGGCAAAACTACAACAGAGACATTTCAATGAAACATCCACTCATGCCTTGGATAGTTCGACACAGCGCACACATCATGAACAGATATGCAGTTCACAGCAATGGATGCACAAGCTACTCCAACAGATGGAACAGAGAGCAACATACACCACTTTGCGAGTTTGGTGAGACAGTGCAACACATGCTACCAACAGTGAATCAATTCCCAAAAACCCGATCCTAGATTCTACAACGGGATCTGGCTTGGCAAGGATACAACCACAGGCGAATCCCTCCTTGGGATCTACAACAAGATTGTCAGAGCAAGGACAATCAGATAGCAGGTTATGCCTCACAAACACAATCAGCAACTACTGGACTGTGTACACACAGGTCCATGGAAGACACCAGCATCAGCACTGCACACACCAACTCTCGCAACACCATTGACAATGCCAGCTGCAAGCAAGGCACCGCCGTCGCAGAAAGATGCAACAACTAGCGCAGCAGCAGAAGGCAAGAGACAGAGCGCAACAGACGCAGGCGATCAGCCAACAAAGCAGAAGAGAACAACAGAGCCAACATCTCCCATGGCTACATCACCAACACACCAGAAGCGACCAGCGCTGCCAGCACCACCGCCTACATCACCCACAAGAGAAAGAGATGACACAATAGCAGAAGGCAGTACAGGCAAGCAACAGCGAACCACAGCAGGAAGACAAGCGCTTGAGCGACCTACAACATCAGAACAACCAAAGAGCAAGATGAGGATAAATGCCATCAAGTTCACAACAAAGGATGGTAAACAAATGCAAACAAAATCCAGTGAAGATGCAGAAGAAATCAACCATGAAAGGATCCTACTAGAGCCAATCCTACATGACACAGAAGACTTGGATCCACAAAAGGTAGCACAAGGAATGAAAATGAACGACCAATCAGTCTTTACAGAGGTTGATGGCAACATGATGACACCAGAACAACAAGCAAACATCATCGAGTCTAGATGGGTTCTCAAACAGAACACAACGAAGTGCGGGCGCGCAGAGTAGCAAAGGGCTACGCAGAGCCCATTACAGACCACGATCTCTTGTATGCAAGTACACCATTGTTTTGCGTACTGAGGATACTCCTCACAATGGCACTGGTGCACAACTGGTCTGTCAGCACACCAGATGTCAGTGTTGCATTTCTACATGCAGATGGAATCTCCTACAACCTGGTAGCGCGACCTCCACATGAGTTCTACAATGATGAAAGCAGACACATAATGTGGCGGCTGAACAAAGCCATTTATGGCCTACGATCATCACCAAAACACTGGCAATACCACATAGCACACATTCTCACAGTCACACTTGGACTTGTGAGATGTACAACAGAAAGCAATGTTTACAGATTAAAAGACTGTCAGGTCTACATCATGATCTATGTCGACGATCTCCTGTTCATAGGAGTACAGAACATCATCAAAACGCTCTTCAGCAGGGTACAAAAGGAAGTCCTGCTGAGACACACAGGCGACCTAACAGTTGGATCAACAATAGA